AACAACAGCCAACCAAATATAGATGGTAAAGTCTGCATGATGAAGCAGGCATTTCTGAATTTCAGTACATGCAGATTGTATACTAACACTAACACTGCTACTACTTTAAACAATGTTATTCCTGCTACCACTACTTTTACCATGATGACTATAACGACTACCTTACTGCCAAGTAAAATGAGTAAAAATAAACTTTAAAATGAGCTTACAATGCTATTCAACTCAAATCAAATAAAGTGGAAATCTACCGATAAATAAAAACAATTAAAGATATCTGCATCAAATGATGAGAGCAGGAAAAACTCTAAAAAGAAAATGATGCTGCCTGTTATATCAGAGTCATCAAGATTCCAATTTCAGTACCATTCACATTACAACTGGTAAAGTCTGAGTTTTCTTAAAGCTCCAATATACAGTATCTAACTGTGCACTTAATAATATGGAAGTCACTAACAACCAAACAAAATGGACGCCTTACATCAGCCAAAGACTGTTGTTCAAAGCAATTAACTACAAATTGATTATATATAGTATTTAAATTGTCAGTACACTATTTAAAATTTGACACAACCAACTCTGTGTCATACAGGGATTTTTATGTCAGTCATTAACATGTCTTGAGTTTTGAATCTTGATACAACTGTAAATGTACATATGTAGTAAGACCTTGGTGTATTCTTGAACATTTAGAGTTCAAAGTTGAAAGATCAATGAAGAATTTCTCTCCCTAAAGCTTGATTTATGGTTATGCGCTGAATCTACATAGAGCCTACGCTGTAGGCTACACAAGTGGCCTATGCCATTGTATGATGCTGTGTTTGTGTCTACCTGCAATTACACTGCCAAATCATGCATGTGGTGCTGACCTACCCCTGGCTGTGACCTTAAAACCACATGCACCATGCTGGTATCTGACTTTAAAGATCAGGCAGCTTCTGGGAGTGGCATGGACATCTCCCTGTCCTCCCTGCTGTGAGAAGGCCTGTGACATCAAGCAACAGGTTGTGGGACATGGTCTGCATTCATCTCTTCCAACTGCAAACTACCAGATCTTAGTAAGCAACACAGTGCAAAGTGCAAAGCACCATGAAATGACACTGTGAGAGTGTTTCCCTTGTTTTCTGTCAATATATTTCACCTCCTGTGTCTTGCCCGAGGCGACTTCGACCAGTAGACTGCAAGACCCGAGATTCAAACCTTCAACCTTCTGGTTGGGAGACGACTGCTCTACCACCACACCACTGTCGCCTGTTGGAGACAACAGGTAGTATCTGACCAACCCACATCCAGCACCACAAACACGATTCAGACATTGATCCGTACAGAGCTCTCCTCAGCCATCTCAGCTCCCAGGTGAGACACTGCTGTGATCCATCAGAACCCTTATTCATCACCAAATTGGGCCTTATTGCCACCAGCGCTTGGTTTGTGAAATAGTTCCGATTTATCCTGTCTCTGTTCAGCACCGCACCTGATCACTTCTCCAGTCACTCTTTTAATAATAATAATAATAATACTTTATTTGTATAGCACTTTACAACTCGGTAGGAGCCCAAAGCGCTTCACAGAACAGAAAATAAAGTACATGACCAACAATATAAAAAATAAGAGCAAAAACATAGTAGAGCAAAACAAGAGAAACTAAAAACACAAAAAAGAAAATATAAATCAAAAGGTAATGATTAGGCTTCCATATCCAATATAAATATAAAACAGCAAGCTAAAAGACATCAACATGATGCCACTGAAGCCAATTAACCACAAAAAGATACGTTTTTAGTTTAGACTTAAAAAGCGATAACTCAGTTATGGACCGTAACTCCAGCGGTAGAGAGTTCGAGAGCCTGGGGCCGTAAACGGTAAATGCACGATCTCCCCATTTTTCGTATTTTGTTGGCGGGATGACCAGGGACACCTGTTCCAAGGAACGCAGAGCCATTTCTAGTGCTGCTTCTATATGCAAAGAATCCGACAGCTGCATCTGATTCTGGTACCTACTGTATAGTTTTAGATTGTTGTACTTGAATTCACCATTTTTCGACCAGTGAGAAAAGCACTTGCAGAATACAAATACAGAAATCTCTAATGTGAAATAACCAGCATCATTTTATATTTCAAGAGTGTGTGTGTTCGTGTAGATCACTGTCACCGAAGAGAAGAAGCTGATTAAGGAAATTATGTATTTAGGGCTTTAAATATAGAAAGATTACAACTAAAATCTGGAGCGTAATAAGTGTGTAAGTGGAGTCAAAGACATGCACACTGCTGACTGTGACAGTCCAACATCTGTGCATTGTACATTTGCAGTGCTGTTGTGTCGTACGCTCAGCTGCATTAACTGTTACTGTCTTTCTGAAAGTCATCACGATTTTCTGATTTTTGCTTCTGAAATCTGACCTCAGGTTGGGTCTGTCACCTTCTTTGTATCCTAGTATGCTTTATTGTTTCAGCTGAACATTATGAGCTTCATAGCCGAGCTGCTGGAGTGGTTTGAAGTGAAGAAGCCTGATTTTGTTCAGCCTATACAACCCATCGACCTCACAGGTCTGTGACATGCATTTACTAATACGTTCCTGTGACACTGTTGCATTGAGAGTTTAGTCTTTGATAACTGATCCTGATGATCAGCTTCTGAAACTGCAGTGCTGCTGTCTTTCAGATGTCTCAGGGTTACTGGACTGCACAAGTCCTGTCAGCAGGAACAGCAACAGGTACGGAGTTTGGTAACGCAGGAAAAAAAAACCTTGAGCACTGACACGCTTGTGGTGTAAGTAAAATAATGAAAACTGAACAGGACCTTCAATGATGAAATTAATGGCCTTGTAAATACAAAGCTTAGTTTAGACAGTTCATCTGTGTTTTTGAGACTATGAATACTATTTACCTACGCGGGATGATGGGGAGGCGACCGTGGTCCGGGGGTAGAGCAGTTGTCTCCCAACCACAAGGTTGGAGGTTCGAATCTCAGTGCCGGCACTCCACATGTCGAAGACACTGAGCCCACGCCGTTGCCCCTGATGGTTAGAGCCATCGGTTGAGTTGGCGCCACAGATTGCTGCCATTGGTTCTGTACTGGAAACAAATTCCTTGTGTGTGTGTAACATTCTTGGCCTTTCATTCATTTCATTTCATGTAGGATCTGTATTTAATATACACACATAACTAGGTGTTGGTGAGCAACATGCTTCACTTTGCAGCTTCTTCAGCCTCGTTTCTGGCTGAGCAAATCTGAACAAGCTGCAATGTGAAACGCACTGCTCACAAACTTGTAGTTATGTGTGTATATTAAATAAAGACGATCCTACATCTAGGCATCCCTGGTGTACGCTGGAATTTTTATATTTTTGTGACATTTGAGAATCCTGTTCCCTTTTCAGCACCGAGTTGGATGAGCAGTCTACATTGTCTCCAGCTGTGCACAGGATCACTACACCTTACCTCTTGACCAAATGGCCATTTTTTTGGACATAGTTTGTATAGTACTAGCAGCCTGGTTCTTTGTACTGCTGGTGAAAAAAGGTTAACAGGGTCTGTTAACTGTTTTGTTCTGTTCCAGTGGTTCTCCGTCCTTTATCTTCAAACAGCCCTTTGTGCCCATCTCCTCCCCAGTGTCACCAGGTAAGAAATAGAGCACAGACATGTTTCCTTAAAAGGAATAGGACATTACGACTGTCAAAACCTTTTTTTTTCTTTAATCTGTCTTTACAGAAAAAAGTTGGACCAAGAAACAAATCAGGTAGATACACTAACGTTCCTAGAGTAAATGTTGTGTTGCATTCATACTTTATCCTAATTTTTTTTAACCTTCTTACTTTGGCTTCTGTGGTTTCTGCTTTTCCATGCGTCTGGCACGGCAACCCATCCATTTGTCCATCGTACTATCATCACCCACCTCTCTGCAGTCGACCTCTGTCAGCTGTGGCTTTCAGCATCCCATTTGGGCTGGACAGTGATGTTGACATTGTCATGGGAAACCCAATCGATTCTGTGTTTCGCTCTGTCAGCTCTGAAAGCCTCACCACTGGCATCCCTGCAGTGATCTCGTCAGCAACTTCAGCAGGGATGACTCGTGTCCCGTACAGCCCTCCAGAGGACATCAGCCACTTGGTCAGTGCTTCAGCCCCATCACAGCGGTCTTCCTGGGGCCCTTATGCACACCCAACATCACTGGGAGAGCTACCAGCCATCGAGGAGGCGCTGCAGGTGGTCCATACTCCCAGTAGTAAAGATCGGAAAAAGGGAAGGCTGCCAGAAAAAGGTACAAGAGGAGTGTTGAGTGGAAGGCCAGAGCCCAGGTTATGCCCCGAAGGAGCACCTGCTGGTTTCTTCCTGCATGCCCCCGAGGAGAATAGTCCCCAGCTGAGTAGCTCTGCTCCCTGTCGCTCTGGCATTGTCTGCCGGCCTGTTGGAGGAGAAGTGGGTGATACAGAAAAACAAGGAGGTGGAGAAAGGAGGGAGAGATCAGGAAGGACCTCAGATATGTCACGTGATGATGACTCCGTACTACGAGATGGCAGTGTTGACTCCTCTGAAGCATCAGATGATACCCCGAGAAACGCCCCTGGTAATATTCGGCCCAGTAATGGTCATCAGGGAAACCACAGCACCAGCAACAGTCCACGCATGACAAGCTTTGCTGAGCGCCGAGATAACAGAAGAAGAAATCCCGCTGCCCTTGTGGAGGAGTCAGCCTCTGCCCCGACAACCCCAGGAACTCCTCATGCGCCCTCGACCCCATCAGGGGGACCCAGCTGCCAGGGCAGTCCAGGCACCAGAGGTCCTGAACCGGGCTCTGAGGCCTGGGAGTTGGGGGCTCGTCTAGAGGAAAAACGTAAAAGTATTGAAGCCCAAAAAAGACGCATCGAAGCCATCTTTGCCAAGCATAGACAGAGGCTTGGAAAAACTGCTTTACTTCAACTAAAAAGAGAGCAAGGAGAGGGAGGAGGGGAGGGAGCAGAGGAGGATAATCTCACCTTGGATGAGCGCCTCACTCGCATGGAGGAGCAGTTGAAAGAGGAGGAAGAAAAGGAAGAGAAAGAGGAGGATAAGGAGAAAGGAACCTCATCTGCTTCCAATCCTCCCCGGTTAGAGAAGCAGGTCACATTCTCTATTGAAAGTAAGAAAGAGGCAGCGGATGAGAAGCCAGGTGACGCTGTCCTAGTTGGGTACAATGAAGTGGTGCAGAAGCTGAGTGAAGCTCTGCAGTCTCTACAGAAGGACATGCACAAACTTACAGAACAGCAGCAGCAGCTCATGAGCAACCAAAGACCCAGAAATACACCCAAAACCACTCCAAAATCAACACCTAGAGGTAACACCAAAACACCACCCAGAACCCCTCCTCGCACCCCAACAAAGACACCGCCGAGAACTCCGACCAAGACCCCCACAAACACAAAGAGCATCAGTAAAGCTTGGCTGATCCCTGCTGGTCCCAGTCTTTCCCCTGCATCCTCTCCATCAAGGCGTTCTCAAGTTCTTCCCTCATCCACCTCACCAAAAACTATTCTCTCTTCCTCCTGCCCTGCTCCTCGCACTAAGATCCACTCATCTTCCACTCCCCGCAGCCCCAAGCACCACCTGCGTCCCCAGCATCAGCCTCATCCACGACCTTCTGAACTTAAGTTCCCTCCACTCAATCGTATCCTGACACCAACCCAGACTGTAGACACCCTCCCCCACCTGCGGCGCGTGTCCCCCAGCAAGTGTCAGGTACAGACTACTACGTCCTTCCGCATTGGTGGACCTCGGACTCCTCAGGAGTCCCCTCAGCTCACCCCACAGCCACAACCTGATGAAAGCACCTCAGACACAGGCTCTAGTGAGACACCCACTCAGTTCAGTCTGGAGTTGGAGCAGGAAGATGTAGAGGCTGTTGGAGGGCTGCCGGCCTTGACGCAGTCCAGACAAAATTGTTCAGGGGCTGCTGGTGGCAGCAGCTCTGGTGCTCCTTCAGAGTGCTCATTTGAGAGTGAGGCTTTGTCTCTGTCTGCTGCATATAGCACAGGAGGTGAAGGAGGAAGAGGTGGAGGTGCAGGGAAGAACTGCAGTCTGATTGAGGTGTCACTGTCATCTCTGGGAGGGCCAGATGGGGGCAGTGATGAACCAACTGATGAAGGTCACGAGTTTTCCTCCGATTCCATGAGTGACCACACTGAATCTGCTGCGGAACCTGTGAGAAGACATGCCACACAACTCTTAGACCCAACAGAGCAGCTTAATCTGGCCACAGAAACCAAGGATTTGCCAGAACAACATACTGAATCCAAAGGAGAACAGACCGAAACTTCAGAACCAAGAGGGGAACAGAATGAGCTGGGGACCAGAGGAGGAATAGGATTCTTCTTTAAGGTAAAAGCTTGCAGAGAGACTGGGGTGGAAGCAGGAGTTTGTTTTGCATGAATATGGATTCTGTCATGACAGCTGGGTACATGACCTTGTGCTTGTGTGGTTGTAGGAGGATGTACATAGTAAGGGAGAGATGGCCCAACGTAGAGCTCTTCTGTTGGAAAAACAGCAGAAGAGAACTGAGGAGTTGAAGAAGAGGAGACAGTGGCAAGAGCAAGAAAGGGAGAACAGGTAAAACACCCCTGGCTTTTTTTTTTTTTTAACATACTGAATCAAAATTTCCAGTGTTTCAATTTATAATTTGTCACCTAATGCTGAACCCATGTAAAAGTAACCTAATACCTACTGGTTTCAGACCAGCATCCACAAACAAGAGAGAGGCATCTCCCTCAGATACATCTCCTGCAGGCACTACCTCTCCTTCCCCCACACCTCCTGCTACTCCAGCTCGTCGTGGAGATTTCACACGGGAGGAGTATGCACGGAGGCAACAGCTCAGGATTATGAATGACTTGGACAAAGTGCTGCAGCAAAAACCATCAAATCAAGGAAGATCTTCGGCTAAGAAAGCCCGCTCTCGGCCTCGCAGTATGACCAGGGAAGAAACACAGCTGTCTTTGAGTCCAGCCAAGGGAACAACTGGTAAAGTCACACATGGAAAAAGTTAACAAATTAAGTATGAGTAGAGTATATGTTATTGATTTGATTGACCGTTTTCATGTTTCTCTAGGCTCCAAAATGACCAAAGTCTACTCTCGCTCCTCTCTCAACTTGGCAGCCGCAGATGAGCCAAGAAACAGTGGTGGTAACCCCACCAGAGAACCCCACAGGTACACTGCTGCATAGGTCATATGTACACGCCACAATAATAGCATGGCTTGAGAGATGCCAGTGATGGATGGTTAGATTTGGTTAGTCAAATTATTTTGTCCAGAAAGAAATATCACACCAACTATTGCATTGCCATAAACTCTGGCACAGAAACTTATCATCCTTGAAGAATGCATCCCAATGTTCCCCAGACTTTTAAATGTTTCAGCGCCTGAGTTCAGGGCAAGGTACTTCTAAAATGAATGATCAAATACTCTAATGTTAACATCCTCAATGTTAGTACACTGTGTATATAACAATGTCGCATGCTAATTGCAAGTATCCTATCAGTTACTGAACACTTTAGCACACTAACATTAGCCTAACTTTAAGGTGAATGCTAAAGGTAATGCACCAATATAGTAAAGTGCTAAAATTAGCACGATAGCATTCTGGATACATTACAGGTAGATTAGCAAACATGTTAATATGATAATTAGTTCTGCTGCCATTTCTGGATGTTAAGCGTATTACAGTATCGCTCTTCCTTAACCTGTTACTAGTAAAAGTAAATTCCTTGTGGTTATAGTGAAACAACTTGAGTGCCAGAATCATACTCTATGCATGTTTGTGATTTTGGGTCATATTTTTCAGGAAAGAGAGTCAATGACGTAGCATGTACTCAAACCCTTTTAGACCAACAACTAGCTTGTAAGTTTTATAACCATTAACACAGCAAATTTTTTTTTTTCTTCAGTGTTGCACACTTTTTTTGCAGACCACATTGCTGTGACAGCAGCTCAATTGTTGCTTAACAACAAGAGGACTTGTACAGTGGCTAGTTGTTTTATAACCTTAATCACTACTAAACTTTCCCAAGTTGGACAGAAGAGAGTAGTGAAAGATTCGTGTTACTCACAGTTTTCTTAGCGATGATCCAGTCTAGTACAGTGATGGCCTGTTGGCTCATTGTTTAACCACTGTGCAGCGCCCGTCCTGATTCACCTTCAGGATGCCTGCTACCAAGTAGACTGGCCAATCAGAATGGAGAGAAAGACTGGGAGAGTGGTTCCAATGGAACCTCACCTGCCCCAGAATACACAGGTAGAGTACTACACGGTACTCCTATGCATTTCCAGAGCACATACAATTGTACTTATTGGTTTTTATAAACCGCTGAACCCGTGTTTGTATCTGCAGGTCCAAAGCTATTCAAAGAACCAAGCCTGAAGTCCAATAAATTTATTATCCACAACGCACTCTCTCACTGTTGCCTGGCTGGGAAGGTCAACGAGGCACAAAAAAACAAGATAGTTGAGGTAGGTGTCATTTCTTTACTCACTATTCTGTTAACATTTTTATTCAAATTTATGATGCCCGTTAGTTAAATCTAAATGAATTTAATTACTCTTGCATTTTTAGCATAGAAACACAACAGTGTAATCTTTTGCATTTTTCTTTCTCTTACTTTCACTCTCTGCTTCAGGAGATGGAGAAGAGTCCTGCCAACCACTTCCTCATCCTCTTCCGTGATTCCAGCTGCCAGTTCAGGGGTGTTTACACTATGAACCCTGACTCCCACGAGCTTGTACGATTGGTTGGTGTAGGCCCACGGACAATTAGTTCCACCCAGGTGGAGTCCATCTACAAATACAGCTCAGACAGAAAGCAGTTTAGTGCCATCCCCTCAAAAACCATGGGCATGAGCGTGGATGCGTTCACCGTTCCTAGTCATCTTTGGCATGGAGGAGGAGGAGGAGGAAGCAGGAGAACAAGTATCACTAAGAAGGCGATTATTTCCAAGTGAGGAACACAACACAAAATCACAGTTACACATGATTAAAGAAAACACTGTAATCATGTTGTAATTATAGTGGAAACTGTAGCCAGACATGGAAAAACCACACAGATAAGCCTTTAGGTATATGTGTGCATACATACTTGACTTCTCTTGCCCTTGGATTTTTACTAATACAAAATATTAAAAATGTATTTGTACTCCCTATTTATGTGCATGAGAACATTAAAGCTGCATTAACTAACTTCTCCCTCCAAGTTCCAACCATTGTTTGTAGCAGATGTATCTGCAGTAACAAGCAAATTGTACAGAAACATGTTTTTCCCCATTAATATTGATACAGAACTAATGTTCTGGTCACTATCGTATCACGTTCAATGTTACATACTTGACACACATAAGGTAATGGAGAGCTGTATGTGAAACGTGAGAAATTTCATGTTAGACATTGATCAACTCCCCACTTTTCTAGCTGTGCTGAAGGCGTAAACTTTAACAACATCTCGTTAAAATGCTACGTTTATATCCAGCATAAATGAACTGTGTGGTCTGGACAAAAACTGAAGAAAAATTAGCAAATTGAGTAAAATTACTTCTTTGCTAATCCAGGAAAATGCGCTAGTTTCCGCTAATTGGACAACAAAGCACTAACGTTGCAGTCAGTTGGAAATTACAACCAGAATAATTCAATAGAAAACGTACAAGATTGAAATGCTAACATTAGCTTGCTAATGACGCCGACATATATACACTAGCGAGCTACAGTACTTCTGCGTCTAGCAGGAAGAAAACCACATCCGTGTCAAATGTTAGTCCTTCTGATGCTTTTAATGCTCTGCCTCCAGCATGTCAAACCAGGGTTAAGCCCTTAGTACAGCAGGGAGACAACACTAGATAATTTTTTACTTGATTTACCCACATTTGTGCTAAATCTTAGTTAATGCAGCTTTAACAGCACAATTTAATTGCCCTACACAGAAAACAGTGTACGGAGGTAAAATGTTAGGCTGAATACACAAGTTAGTTACTTTTAAAAAGTCTCTACCTATATTGTTTGAAGTACAAACTCAAACTACTTTTCTTTCAAAAGAAAAGGGACCTTTTATGAAGCTGTTTACTGAAAAATATTGACTTTCATAAGACATCATTACTCCCTGGTTCTGAGGACTGAAGTACTGTCAAATGCCTGTTTTTCCAATAAGCCAAACTGAGTAAATGCCTTCTCGTGTCAGTGACTGGCAGGACTTTGTTTGTATTATCTTCAAGTTTAATTCTACTGACCGTCAGTAGATCAAAGCACATTTACTTAGTAAAGTTGAGACAGCCATAAGCATTTGAAGCAGAGAGCAGAGGTGAACTGTATGTTTTTTGGGCTAAATGTGTCTGTGGTTTTCAGAAATGATTCCCACAGCATGAATGGTTATTTACTATATGTGGTATAAACCTTTTCAAAATAATATGATGGTGAAAACTTGTGCTTTGATGAAACTATGTTAACAGGTTTACGGTACATCTGAGTATTGAATGCCAATTAAAACAACTTTTATACACTTACAGGATAAGACTGGTCGTTTTCTATATTAACAGCATTTTCAACACTCCCCATACAGAGACTAAACCAACAGTGATTTGCTTATACTCATGATTAAAGTCTGCCAGACCTGGATCAGCCATGGATCTCTGCTGATGTTCAAAGACTATTGAAAACTACAAAACAATTAAAACATCAGGGAAACACACCACTGCACTTAGTCATATTTCATCATTACGAAACACAAGACCCTCCAGAGATTTTGTACGAGTCCTTGACTCTTTTTAAGTCAGGTTCTGTAAAAAATTTTGGCTGTTTGGAGCTGTCGTGGCAAAACTTATCAGGTTTTTCATCTTGCACTGACCGAACCTTGATAACTATGAGGATTGATGCATATTTATTTCTGCAGGAAGGAGCAAACTCTGAGTGTCATACATAACAGTCTAAAGGAGAAGCTCCCCAGTCAAGAGCTGCATTTCCTTTTTATACATAGACATGAGTCCTGTTCGTGGTTTCGATCAGTTAAGGTCATATGGAGGTTGAAGGAAATGTCTGTCACACAGGAAAGAAGCTGTCTGGTTCAACATCCGTACAAGGATGTGCTTTTCACTGAAGACACAGATGTTTGTCTAGTTTCACAAGCACACAAATGACTATATAAAAAAAACCTGCATAGCAACAATCAGTATATTAATAAGGCAGTATGTTTATAAGGCTTCCATCACAGGAGCCTTTGGGGCATTATTTTTAAAAAAGATCAGGGTCTTGTGTTTTGTAATGAGGAACCATGTTACCCATTGCAGCTGATGTGTGTTTATATTCATTTTTGAACAACAATCGAGGTCTATGGCACAACATAATCCAGTTCTGACAGACTGAGACACAAGTGTGAGTTTGGTTTTGGTCTCTGTATATGGAGTGTTTAATATAGAAAACGGCTAGCCTTGTCCTTTAACTAATAGCATGTTGAGGAATGATGTGTCGAACATTTAGGCGTACCCGTCTCTCAGTGAGCGATGGGTTTCGATAGCCAGTTCTATGTTGGTAAAATACCTGGATTTGTTAAGCTCTGTGGCCAATGAATCCCTTACCGAATCTTTCATTCACAATATCCTGTAGATAGTCTTTTGTTGCTTCTTTCCCACACTAAAGGTGATGTATAGAGATGTGTTAACTCAGACACAGATATTAACAAGCCTGCATGACTTACTCCATTATCTGTGACTTGTAGCAGAACAACAATGAATTTACATCTGGTAACATTAAGTGCATCAGTTATGCAGAAAAATTAGTGATTTAGTTGCTTTACATGTGATACTGACATAAAAACAGTACACATGCACAAGATGCCTTCCTTTTCCCACAAACAGATCTACCTAATCAGATTTGGTGAGGTATTCACAGAGATTCAGATTTGAACTGCCTTCAGATTTGATTAAATGCTATCGAACCCCATCCCTACTCTACAGAGCGCACACAATTAAACTTGTGTGTTTCAGACCAGCATACACGTATGACCAACAGACTGGATTAAAGTCCATTGATGGAGCTGTCTCAACCTAACCGTCTGCCCTCCCTCCTTCTCTGTATACTGTTCAGTCTTTTCTAGTTTCCTGCTTCACACACACACACGGCCTATTGTTCTTCCTCACGCTGACAGACAGAGAGAGCAGTCCCCACTGTAACGCGACCCTGGTTAGAGGTGGTAACAGCAGTGAGACATTTGTAATAAAATTTGACTCTGACCTGCAAAACAGTCGTTCTCAGCCAGCTTCTTTGTGCATGTTCTTTACTGCCGATGTCCACTGACCCAGCCAACAGTCGATCGTTGGTGGTGGGAAATGTGGCGCTGTGCATTTTGAGTTCACAGCAGAGGCAAACACCTAAACTGGCAGTGATTTAAATATATATATATAGTCGATCGTTGGTGGTGGGAAATGTGGCGCTGTGCATTTTGAGTTCACAGCAGAGGCAAACACCTAAACTGGCAGTGATATATATATATATATATATAGTCCATAAATGACATTAATAAACTCTCTGGGCATTTGGGGGCAGCACAACAAGCTTAAAATTTTAAACCTTATAAACTTGTTTGCACAAAGTGCCTACCTGAAGCAGGCACAGATCCGGACGCCACCAACCAAGAACTGGAAAGGAGATTTGAGGTGGTCAATAAGGTCATTTTACAAGAGTGATTAAAGTTGAGTACACAGATCGGTGTGCAGGTGAAGGTGAGTGTGCACAGCTGTCCACCACAGTGTTGTTCTTAATACTACCACCAGATAACACCAAAGTGAGGGACTGTCAAGTCCTACACATAATGACCTGCTTGGACAACTTTACAAAAGTAAATGACCTAAAGCCACTAACAACACGAGTACAACAACAGTTTATGGGATTTTTATTGCACCTTATAATGTACAGTATGCAGACACAGAGAGAATGTCATCATTCACTGATATAACCCTCGCTGCATTGGTTTGACCTGCTGTAATTCTTTGGGATCTCTGGGGCAGTCTTACCATAATTAGATCAGAGTCAGGGTTTAATCTTAGCTTTTAAAATAGACTGCATTGTGGCTTTAAAACAGTTCGCATCTTATAAGACTAGGAATCGATTTGCAGTATTTAAGCAAACCAAGTATTTTCTTCTTCTTTATTGGTAGCATTTGATCAGTTATGGCACATTATTGCCACCATCTGTAACCACTGTCAAAACAAACCCCTGTCCTATGTGTGTTTAGTCTACAGCGCCCCTAGTGTTCAAAAACTAACATAACATGGGGGAAATATGAATTAACCTGCACTTGAGAAGTTAAGGGGAAGCATGTTTAAACATTTTGATGGATGGTGTTTTTATCATGGGGAAAAGTATACGGTACTCTAGGGGACCAGAGCAAAGAGAGTGTGTGTTTGTGTTAATTTGAACATTGATTAGATCCTCAAACATTTTGATCTCAGTGAGAATGGGAGGAAAAAAGGTCTTTGTACACGATTAATTTTTTACACTTAGGTTTACCATCAACTTGTGACACTGAAATTATAATATTTAGTGCAGTTTGCTGAGATTTTAGCAGGAAAGTCAAGAAAAACTCAAAATATAAGCCATTTTTGGTTCACAGCATACGGTTTGTTATAAATGTGTCTTGTCTCATAATCAAAGTTTATAAATGCTGCCAAATTAAATTCAGGAGAGCAAACTATCACATAAACTGACCAAATTTCTGAGTATAATTAGAGATTATTATTAAAGATATAAAATACTAAGAAACACGTTTTGAACTAGAGTTAAAAAGGTGATAATTTGATCAATTTAACTACACTATTTTGTAGAGCCATATAGTCTTAGCACTTAGGTTCAAGCCTGCGCCAAAGATCCCAGTGAATATGCACATACAGCCCCTTTACATTTTATATATCAATCACACACAGATTTTGACTTAAGACCTACGGTATCAGTTGTTAGGTTTTGGGTTAAATCAATGTTTCAAAGTGTCTCGCTCTGCCTTTAGCTTTAGCAGGGTGAATCAACCATAACCTCAGGTTCTACCTAATACATATATCTTACTTAATTCTGTGATGAAGCTGTACGCTAGTCTCAGAACAGCAGTGTACAGGCACATGTTTGCTGATGCAGAAAGCTGTGACAGAACGTAGGATGGGGGTGAACCAGGAAAAGGCAGATAAGGAGGAAGAAAAGAGCAGGTCCATCCACCACGCACATTCACCCAGGTGCTTCTTTTCTAATTCTACCTGGAATGGCTGCTTAAACGAAATGTGAAGGTGGTTAATGAGCGTCATCTGGCTCGGCCGCAGGGCTGCTGTCGGCTTGTGCATCCACAGAGCTGTGGGCTGTGCTGTTCCACATGGCGGCATCAGACTGGGGCTCCGGGGAGACGGGATCAGACGAGTTGGATGGTGGGCCCACCAAGATGTGGGTGAAGGTAGTTGGGCGGCTGGATGCGGCTTCAGCAGGCTGGTGAGATGGAGTAGGTGGAGCATGAGATGGGGGAAGAGCAGGTGAATCAGAGGAGTTGACTGTTGTATATGAGGACAGGTTGGAGGGAGGGAGTGAGGGTGAATCAGAGAGCGTGTGAGGGAGAGAATCAGCTGAAGAGTCTGGAGGTGAGTCAGGTGTAGTCGGACAGGGAGTGTGTGGAGGGGTCGGCTCCTGAGGATCTGTGCAAACTGGCTCCCCCATGGCCACGTACCACAATTCATTGTGCCTGTTCAGCAGCTTCAAGGGACTGTGCACGCACACACACACACACACACACACACACACACACACACACACACAGAGAAAGAGAGAGAAAGATACACACAAGAAGGGCACAGTGATAGGTGAGTGGGCTACGCAATCTTCTAAACTTGATCACAGAAAACTCATTTGTTTGTTTTTTTAAATCAAAATTCACAGTGATCATCGTGTTAACTGGCTGACGGCAGCTGTTACCGTGGAAGAAATAAACACTGCTCTGGAATATTTAGCCTCTGTACCAGGACAAACTGTGTCACAGTACTGTTGCACCACCTACAAATGAAATGCTGTATACTTTTAGAAAAATGCTCAGAGGCTGTTTGTGCACCTATCACCTAAACCTGGTTGTGTTTAAAAGTTATGGCAACACCTAGCAGCTAAGTCGTAGAAAACTATACAGAATAAAAAAACAAGGGTTTTCCAAATATCATGAACAAAACTTGGGCGACCATAGTAGAGAACAGCATGAAATAGTAGAGTGACCCCCAATAAAGAGTGAAGAAAGTTAGAAAGTATGAGTGCACGTGTGATACCTGTCATAGCCGACTCCATAGTGGTAGCTGTGGTTGTAGGCAGCTCGGACTCGCTCGAGTTCTTTAGTGAGCAGGTGGGCGTGGAGCCTGGAGGTGACCGACAGCATCCAGCCTCCGTAACTCCTCACATACACGTTCATTGCTGGCATCTCAGTGAAGTACAGCTGTGAGAGAGACACAGACGCAACGTCAGCAAACAACAAGCTGCATCACAGTAGATACTGCACAAACTGGACGTGCAAACACGTACGTGTGCAAAATGTGTCAACGACATTTTAGAAGAAGAGAAATTAACTATTAATCAACCAGTTAAAATGACAAAATACATGCATAGTGATTTAGTGACACTGGGGTTTTTATAACACACTGTAGCAAAAAAGGTGTTTTTGTTTATCATGTGAGTAAAAGGACATTTTAAAAACTTATAGCAAACTTAAAGAAACGTAATGCAGGAGCAAATTACTGCACCGTATACAGGATGAACTGCCAGCAGTCAAATCACATAACCTTTAAATAGGTTGAATGAAGCAGTGTGTGTTTGGGTTTATCTGTGAGAGCTGTATAAACACAATGGAGGAAGCTTCTTCTGGGATCATTTTTATTAAAAAATAAATAATAATGGGATTAAAAATTTCTTGTAACAAAACAAAATCCTGAGCTCACGGTGAAGTTGTATGAATTTAATAAAAATGTATCTTATTAATTAAAGCATGTTTGGTTCTCCATATTACCTGCAAACAAATTACTTGAACATAAATGTAAATAAATATACAGAATAAAACTTAGTAAAAGTCCATGAAGGCAAAATAACGTGAGCTGGGGCCTATTTCGCTGTGGTCAGTCGCAGGCGCCGAGGCCCAGTACTGAAACACGACTGCACGAGAAGGATGGATGAACTGATAAAATGAAATGTTAAAGGAATGTTACAAAGTCCATTCAATGGGAGATGTGGACAGCTATAAACTATATAAAACTATAAAAATTAATTATTAATATATATAATCTCTGTAGTTTTTGTGCTTTTCGTAGATATTTCTACACCATCTCAGATGAATAAAACAGACCCAGAATGGTACAGTACAGACTGTAGATAATGAAATATTAGAACAGATAGGAGACAGCAGCACCGACGCCATCATGAGGCAGCACTTTATATTTCTGTTTTGCTGAGTGAGAACAGCACAAACGACTGCACATCTCTCTGTTGGTCATATAACCAACAATCAGATAACGCAGTGATACTGGGAGGATAAAAGCATTTGACCTCATGACTGGCTCGGGCAGCTCAGCGCTCTTTTGCCCACATCCCTTGCTACTCGTGAGGCTCAGCTCACCTTGTCATTGGTGGGCGCGGGCGGCTTGTCCTGATAGGCTGCAGGCAATGGGAAGCTGAGTGTGTAGATAACCGGCGCCCACATTTTGCTCTCCTCTGGGATCTTAACTAGGACAGGGGCAGTCATCTCCATCTGGACACCTGTCCATGAAAAAAAAAAACACATTCAGAATTAAAGCAAACACCACAAACACACTCCATCAAGGCTGATTTTCCTCTCCTGTCCCGTCCTCACCCCCTTCGTTGTCTCCAGTGATGTATTGGAAAAGTCTCCTGAAGGCCAAAGCTGCGCCCACTCCCATGAGATAGGCTTCAGCGTCTGTTGACACCCAACGAGTGGGGCTGTAATATCGCACCTGAACACACGCAGGCAAAGAGCAAGATTGTGTGAGAAATAAAAGCCTGACAGCTATGTAATGTGTGTGTTTGTGTGCTGTTCACTCACCTCATATTCATCTGTTTTGCACACCAGCTCAAACTCAAGACACTCCTTTGACTCTGTGCAGAAACTGCTGTTGGTACTTGGCCTATAATACAGTGATAAGGGAATTCATCTTTATTTTCTAGCAATGCTATATGGCCAGAAGTGTGCGGACACCCTTGTCGCAGCTTTGAGTCTGCACCAGTTTTATACTATTTGGGCTCAGTTCATTATTTCAAATTAAGGGAAATCTTAATGCTACAGAATACAGTGGCGTTTTAGACAAGAGTGTGTTTCCAACTCTGTTTCGACAGTTTGGAGAAGGCCCTTTACTGTTTTAACACGACAATGCCCATGTGCACAAACCCACAAAGAACTGACTTGGTGTGGAAGAACCCACTGCAACCCATCCAATAGCTGTCCCGACACTTTGCTTTCATAAAAATGTCAACCTCATGGAAAGACCGTGTCTGGCCTGCTGGTGGCAGGAAAGAAAGAGTCAGAAGGTCGCTGAAGCTGTTAGAACTCATCCACTAGCGAGCCCGAATTTCTGTAGCAAATTTCATGGCAACGCATGGCAAAAAAAAAAAATCAAGAAATGCCACAGAAAACTGTTTCCTGATGCTCTGGCTACTCTGGGACTTTGCTAGCCTTGACCTTGGAACAGCCAGTGGGCCTTTTTCTGAAGACCTGAGCTGAACCAGCTGTGTGGAATTATGTGGAAGTTACTTTGGACAAGTGTCTTTCAAATGAATTAGTAAAGGTTTAATTTGCATATGGGTGTAATGTTCAGGTGTCCAGGTACTTTTAGCCAGGAAGTACATCATCTACCTGAAGCGATTAACTTACCCAACACTTCCCTCAGCAGAAACCACTAGGGCCAAAATCCCAAAGACGGAGATGAAATCCCTGAGGAAGGACACACAAACCAACACACACCTTCACTTAGCACCGAGGAAAGACATCCAGACATGAGAAGTGAGGCAACTATCTACCACAGGTTCTAGCAAAAAGGTTGAATATGACGGAAAGGGTGTCACTTCTTCCCCTGCGCCATTAGAACTGCAAACAAATATGGATTCTGATAACCCCCCCACCCCAACCCAGGGACTTCAGCTGTAAAGACAACGGAGAACAGTTCAGCTGTAAGCCATCAGTTGCTAAGACAATGCTTGCAGCAATACTATTTTATCAGCACGAGAAGCTCAAGTTAATGTACTTGTCACTTTACACTGCACCTTGTTTTTACTGTTTAGTAACTGTTTTATATCTTTGTTTGTTTTTATTGCACTGTTTTGGTCAAGAGCATACTAATTTCGTTGCACATGATTGTGTAATGACAATAAAGTCTATTCTATTCTAAAGTTCACAAGCTAATGGAGGATAAAAAAAAACATTTCTTTTAAATTATAGGCCCGTACTGCTTTGTCAGAAGATAATTACTGAAGACTATTGGACAAACGAGGCGAAAGAAATCTTCAAATCCAAAAAGACTCGATTAGATGAATTTGGATTTGTGCGCGTGCCAGTCCGCGCGTCAGTGTGGTGCATTTTGTGTTTGCACTGCAGAGATGAAATGGACACGAGAGCGACGCAGAGGGGAGCGAGATCTGCTGCATCATCAGGCTCCGTCTTTGGAAAAGCAAAGGCGTCTTGAGGTCACGGAGGCGCGCACAGGCGCGTTACATCCCCTCGATCACAACCTCTGACATTTAAAGTTTGTCCAACATCCGACTGAAGACCAAGATGGACAACACGTTTCAAAATGCACCACCACAGTTTGAAATTCATGTGCGGCAGTAATTCTGTTTATGAATTCAATTGACAGATTTCCATGGGTGCGCAGCCGATCAATAATGGTGCAATAATCAACTTTTCCAGTCCACTGTGCCTTAGAAAAGTCGCTAAAAATAAGTATCGGCTATGATCAAACATTTCTGGAAAAATACTCCAAACTCGCCCTCCCTCCCTCCATCCCTCCATCCATCCATCCATCCATCCATCCCGCTTATTCCTGAACAGGGTGGCGGGCGGCCGCAGCCTTCTTCTCCCAGCGCGGGCGGCTGCAGCCTTCTTATCCCAGCTGACATCGGACGAGAGGCTGCTCAGAACTACCAGTGTGATATTTAAGATATAATATATAAGAGCTGATACTCACATTGTCCCGGTCGAGTCGTTTCCACCTGGCAGGGGAGCGCACGGAGGAGCAGTGCGATGGAGACCGCAGTGTGCTGCACTGACGAGCGGACTGCGGTGAGGAGCGGCGTCGGACGCAGCTCACGGGAGGGCGGGGCTGAGCTGGCACCAGCAGTGGACGTGTAGCCTACCTGGGTTCACTGACTGCATCTGTCTAACTGTACAAACACGACAGGGTGAGGACCCAAAGCCCATAGCAGGGTTTCTATTCTACCTTCTGAAGGAAATGAATCGCTGACAATGTCATAATTGTTCTAGATTTTAGGATATGTCGAAGTATTTTTGGATTGTTTCTATTTCAGGTAGCCAATAAACTTTTGAATCATTATTAATAAAATAGCCTAGATGTGTCATTTGTTCTGTATATAAGCCAATAAGAAACATGCCCATCACAAGCTTCCCCAGTGCAGGGACATCTTCAGTTGTCTTGTTTTGTTCCATCAACCCAAACCTAAAATCTATTCAGTGTACTATAACAGGATTTTAAGAAAGAGTTGCTTTAATTTTTGCTATTTTTGCCTTATGAAGCAGTTTGTTGTCAAAATCGTATTACAGCTCTACTCTACATTGAACATTTGGTGTATTAAAGTCCCTGGAAACTTGGTATTAAAGTATTCTTAAATAATATGAAACAATGAAAGTTAAAGATACACTAAGAAAAAATTTAACTTAAGTCAGAGTTGAAAAGAAAGCGCTTTTTCCAGCTGACCTCTGTGCACTTGAAATCACAGAGGAGACCAAACCCAGGTCAAACAACCAAAACTGTTTGGCAGAAAAACTTCAAAAGCAGTTACTAAGTAAAAAGTTGTCCCTGCCTCAGTTACAGTATGACCACATACGTGATTTGCCACAAATGGGCTGAACCATTTAAAAAGACTGTAATGCTCCTTTAAGGCCGTTCAACGCAGTCGCACGAAAAGCACAAAGGAACAATCAGTGCAGAACCTAAAGGCCGAAACGCTCTCAGACAGAAATAAGTCAGACATTTGTCTCTTGAATAAGAAGTGACACAATGTGCCAGGTGAGCTCTGGAAAACGTGCAGTATACATGCAAGAAAAGCTGTAGAACAGGGAGGGAAGAGTTCGATAGCGGCACATGATGCACATGAAGATATTACAGAAAGACTCTCTCTTACTGGGGCACTCAACAGATTGTATGATCATCTGATTCCACATGGGGAGTGCAGCTCTGCCAGTGAAGACAGCTGTCTAATGGAAGGCAAGCAGGGAGGAGCCATACCAGCGAGGCCTCTGCTGCACTGTTTTCTCCTTTATGGAAATGCTAAATTAAATAATGGAAGTTGCTGTTAAACAAAAAAAGAAAAGAAAGCAGTTTCAAGACACGCACACACACACCCACACACACGCACACACACACACACACACACACACAAAGAACAGCTCTATCCGAGACCTTTCCAGAACACCAGCTTTATTGTGACAGCTCACAGAGACACCAAACAGCCCTCTGTAACAAGCACAAATCCTTCTTCATCCAACTGGTTAAATGAATCTTAACCGTTTTCCCAGGCACCTGACACATCAACAGCCTGTAAACACTGTGCAGCTCTGTCATCCCAGTACAGGAGTAACTGTGGTTACAGCTCAGTCGTCTTTCATCGATTCCTCACATTTACTCTTCCCCGTCTCTTAAAGGAATCAGAACGTCTCATTGAAACAGAAGGTGTCTTTACTGCAACACTGTCTATAAAGCCTCCATGCAGATCTTAGGGATTTGTGTCTTCTTTGATACCAAAAGTTCAACTTCTCTAGATTATTTACAAATGGCCACCTACTATGTCCAGCTGCATGTTTCTAAGCTTTCATAAACTGCTAAATCATCAATAATTAATAAAATTAAGCCTCACATCAAGAGCAAAAAGGTAAAACCAAACGGCGATGAATTCAAAAAGGATCAGCCAGATCATGTCTCTGCCTGGACTGTCACAGCATGGCCAAAAATGGGGGACAAAAAAAAAAAAAAAAAAAGCAAGGCCACTGCTCTGGTGACTTGAAAGCCTCTTCTTCATCAAGAGATCCCCACGTCACCATCTGGGCTGAATTCACAGAGGTGGGAGTCGACCTCCACTAAAGCAGTAAATTAACAGTAACACTGAAACATTTATATATATGCAAGAATATATTGAAATATACAACCATGGACATCCATATATTTCAATATACTAACCAAATAAAGTATCTAAGAAAGAGTAGCATATTGTACATGGTGGTGGGAGTATATGTTAACCAATGGGACATTACTGCCCCCAACAGTGGCAAAGAGAAACTAAACGTTAGGTTTGTTGCCTAAATTTTAAATATATATATATACATATATGTATATTGATTAGCCTTTTACCTGAGTAGGGGCTATTGTCTCCAAAGGGAAAAACTTTGGTGTTCGAATCTTGTTTTTCCACTTTCACACACACACACAAACTCACATCACACAGGTACAACAGAGGCTTGCAGAAGAACCGTTTCAATATCTGATATAAATACACCCGAAAGAAGTTTCTCTAAAATGGTAATTATCTTTGGAGTGTGACAGAGAGAATGAGAGAATGAGAGATGAACATCCTTTCCATATCACCCTTTCATGTGGCAGGCCCCCAAAACCTTTTAGGAATTTCTGGGTAGAGTGTTTCGAAGACTGAGTGTCCAACAAAGTTAGTCCACTTTTTTTTGTCTTTTTTCTTTTTTGCATAGCCAGACAGTGGGCACGGCCACTGCAACCACTTAAGTTTCAAAGGAATGCGTTCACTGGGAGTGGGAGCCTCAGTCCATGTACATACACCCCCTTTGCACCAGCTGGCCCGGAGATGTTTACTGTGTCCCTCTCAAAGATGCAGCTCCACACTCACAAAGTGGACTCCTTCTGGCGCTCGCGTCCGTTGCACGTCTTCTTAACTTTGGAAATGCCTTCCAGTGCACCTGACTCGGTCACTCTGGACACAGGGAGAAACACAGAAGCGTGACAGTTAGATCTCTGATACTAGTCACAGATAAACATCCTTAACAGCCCAATCATTAGGTGTGTTTTCAAAAACTGAACTGGAAACGCAAAAAAATACAACAACGACTTTGACATATCACAAAACACATTAGTACAAAGAAGACAGGCCTGGTGAGTAATTCCTGATGAATAAATTATATTTCACATACATCACCCAAGCTCAGATGTGAACAGATGGAAAACAGAAGCAGGTGAAAACATCACATCCGTGTGGACCGGTGTGTAACGTTCCTCAAATGAATACATGGAACAGAATGCCCTTTATTGTCACTGTACCAGTACAATGAAATTATAAAAACCACAACTGTACACAGGTCAAGTTAAAGTGCAAGCAAAGCACCAGATACTCCAAACACACCGTCAAAAAAAGGTCAAACACATCAATAATAAATAGCAGCAATAAAATAACTAATGATGTAACAGTACTGTGAGTTCAGAGTTCTGATAGCCCCGGGGAAGAAGCTGTTTGCAATCTATTTGTTCTGCTTTTTATGCTCCTTTACCACCTATCAGAGGGCAATAAAGTGAACCATGAGTGGCTAGGGTGGGAGGAGTCGTGTATGATTTTCCTAGCTCTGCTGAGGCACTGGGAGTGAGAGATGTACTCCAGGGAGGGCAGAGTATCGTGTCCAACACCCTCTGCAGAGCTTTCCTGTCAGATACAGTGCAGCTGGAATACCACACAGTTAATGCAGTATGCTACAACACTGTCGATGGCAGAGTGATACGAGGCCACCAGGAGCTTTTCCTTTAGCTCCACTTTTTGGAGCAGCCTCAGGAAGTGCAACCACTGCCTGGACTTTAACCACCGCTTGGAGTGTTAGCTGTCCAGGAAAGGTCCTCTGAGATGTAGGTCCTCAGGAACTTAAAGGTGGAGACCCTCTCCACAAGGTATCCGTTGATGTAAAGTGGGGCTGGATTCACTCTGTGCTTCTCTTTTGTTTTGTGGGTGTTGAGTGACAGATTGTTTCTGGACCACCACTCCGACAACCTCTGCATCTCCAACCACGGTGTATCACCAGCAAATTTAATGATTGTCTTGCTGGAGCGGTGAAGTGTACAGAGCATATAGGAGTGGGCTCACTGGAGTGTACAGAGCATATAGGAGTGGGCTCAGTACACAGCCCTGGGGGGAGTCGGTACTGAGTGTGAGGGTTGAGGAGTAGTAAGAGCCACCTCACCCACTCTTCATTCAACGCCGGTACTGAGTGTGAGGGTTGAGGAGAGCCACCTCACCCACTCTTCATTCAAATGAACAGAGACTGAGAAATGTCCAAAATCACCATAAAACTTAAACTGCAATAATTGAAAAACTGCAACAGATATCAAAAAGCCGAACTTGTCCTGACTTTTTTAAAAGGCTGAATTGTTTTTCTAGCTGAAAGTATGCTGAAGTTATTAAGGCTGATGAGGAGGAAGTCTTGAAGATTCTCCCACTGACTTCCATTATAAAAAAATGTTGAAAAAAAATTGAATTGAATATTTTAAAGAGTATAAAAGTAAAAAAACAAAAAACTGAATACACACCATAATGTCCTTAAAGAGCTTAACATTTTGATAAGATATGGTGAGGTGAGCTCTCTCGGTCTGCATAGAACCGACATTGTCAGGAGAACAGTGTGTGTTTGTACACCCAGTTGTTGTTAATGTACAAGCAAATACCTCCACCCCTTTTTCTTGCCGGAGTCTGCATTCCTGACGAAGAGGTGCGTGGTGCGACCAGCTATCTGTCCCAAAGTGTCCAGAACTAGCGGATGTTGCCAGGTTTCCGTGATGATCATCACACAGCTTTCTCGAACAGGGAGTTTGCAGCTATCTGTACTTCCAGTTCGTCTAGTTTGTGGACAATGGACCTGGCGTTTGTGAGGAAGAGGCTGGGTAGCGAGCTTTTCTGTGTGTGTGTGTGTTTCCTCAGCCTGGCCAGCAGGCCTGATCGGCACCCCCACCTCTGCTCGTGTTCTTGACACCGTCTACGTTGCCTCTCAGACCCGACAACAATCCAGGGAGACCCCGGGGGTCGCGCAATACACTGCGGTATGTGGTGAGTCTGCTGGAAACTGCTTGTAATGTCCATATGACAACACAGGCCGTTGATGATTAAGTCCATACGGCGGTACGAAAGCCTCTCAACACACACTGCACTCACTACACAAACACAACAGCACAACCAAGCACCATAACAGAGAGCCACACGCTGCTGCGTCTGTGCGTGCCGCCATACTGCCCCCAATAGCTAGAAAGCATTTTCATTTTAGGCTTTAGTGACGCTCTTAGTTATGGCACCTTGTTGCATCGTCTTCTTCTGCAGTGGCACTTGACAATCAGCATTATCTCAATGAAGCAACTCCAAACAGCTGCATAACAGTAGCGCACGGACAAGAAAATGCATTTGTATTTTATTGTGCTGATATTTTGGAAATCCTGGTAAAAACTTGTACTACATTTGGATAGAAACCTGAGTTACTGTTGCAATCAGGCGTTTTCTCTGTAGTATAAGACTGGTGTTTGTGTATTCATAGATGCAGTGCAAACAGAACATGCCAGCAGCTGAAACATGACTCAAATAAACGCAGCTAAGCTCGATGTCGCTCCATGATAAACTGATATGAGCCCAGTGCAAGTGGGGAGGAATCTGAAACTTTCACTCCGTGAGAAAAAGAGAATGAAGATTGAGCAATAAAGTCCCTGTTGTTTTTATTTTACACTTTCAAAACACTGTTGACAGAACTAAAACTCAATGTGTGGCAACAACAAGGTGTGGCCAGCTAACAGCTTGTCTACACAAAGTGCTGAAGCCATGCTTTTCACTTACTGAAACAGATACACTTCTATTTCAATCCATTCAGCTGTGTAAGCATACACTCATTTGGCAGTTTGGACAAACATTTGTGTGACTGGCTGCATCGCCAAGCTAATAAAACAGCTGACTATTTCTCTGTACCGTCAACTCAGGACGGTAGCTACAGCCATCGATAAGGCTACCCTCCACAAAGAATACATGAAGTTGGCTATAACCTTGTTGGGAGTAATTCTTGTGAATGGCAACAACAGCCACATCAGAATGTAGCCTATTTTTTTTTCAAGGTAGCTAACACATACTGAATTAGCTAAGTTATGTTAGCCAAGAAAGCTAGTTAGTTGGTGTTAAATAAATGTAAATCTAAGTTACAATTTCCTTTGAATAATTTTAACACTCCCACCCCAACACACAAAAAAAAGTTGTCTGAAAACCTGAGTTAGGCTCTGAGTGCTGCCCCAGGCTCCACGCTGTCTGAATGTAGGAGTGAAACCACTGTTTTTGGTGAGATAGTAAAAACTGAGCAAGGGTTAAAGAGAAGGTCATACAGATTTGTATACTTACACTTCATCCATCTCTACATCGTCCTCGTCTTGGGGAAGCTGGAGGTAGGGGTTATTGGACGCTGGTCTGAACTTGTAGCCCGTCAGCACAAAAAAGATCAGAGTAGACATCTCCACCAGAAACTGAACAAACAGAAGAAAGAGCGGGCATTTAATAACAGAGGGGGGAATGATTAGAAAGATGTGTAATAATAAAGAAGAGTACAGCTCACATTTTGCTTGTTGCTCATGTGCCAAGAACTTCTATCCAACAGCTTATAGCTACCTGCACATTTCTGGTTAAATCAACAAATTTCTTCCCACTTTGTCAGTTTTTTTTCCCTCTGCACTGTTTTTTCTGTGTCATGCCCCTAATGCTTTGCAGAGGGAACCAGGAGAAAGGAAGGAGGGAGGTAGGGCCTGTGCCCACAGATGATAAAAGCTTCATATTACTGGCATCAAAGCATTGAAACATAAACCCTTGTCCCTGTGCTCTTACTTATTCTTGAAGTTGATAGGATACACAAAAAGTCACATGATTTACTGAGCATACCCTACAACATTTCCTCCATCCAGTGATGTGAATATCTTATCAACCCTCTGGGGGGAAAGCGGTGTTCTTGACCATTTCCTACTCAATTAAGGGTGTAATGTGATCGCAAACATCACACTGGTATACACAGAAGTAAACCCTGCTCAGTCATTGTGAAGTCAGAGTAAGGTACAGGTTTTCTTTACAACAAGTGCTCTCTAAAGTGATAAAAGTCCGACTGCTGTCTCACCTCATAGCACCACTGCCACTGGAAAGGCATAGTGACCTTGAGCAGAATGGCTATGATTCTCGTGAAGTAGATGTAACAAACAATCTAAAAAGAAGAAAACAGACTTTTATAAATAGCAGAAAGTTGGCAGTTGTTTAAACTAAGGCAGTTAATCTAAAAAAAATATTCCCCTTATTATATTAGTAAAACAGGAGCTGTAACAAAGCATAGTGATATACACTACCAAAAAGGTCCAACAGTGTGTGTGGTTGTTGCTCTGCAGCAGTGACTCTGCTGAATGAGAAGCCTGAGATGGCCCTGCCAAAATCTATGACTCAGTCATTTTACAGTTCTATGATTAATCCTTGACACCCAATAATAAAAACGTCTAATTAAAAAAAAAAAAATCCAAGAAATATCTGCAACACTACCAGCAACGTCAGTATTACACATCTGTAATGTGAGGAGATTAAACAATCAGTTTAAATTTCAGTGGCACTCCGGTGAATGGAGGCTAGAAAAAAACACTGCTAAGATGGACGCCATCTTACCATCACGTAATAATGCCTGAAGAGCTTGAGCTTCTCCAAATTCATAGCAGCTAAAAGAGACATGGACTAAATTTAATAAGATAAATTTCAGCTGCTACAACTCATAAAATCATATTGGCTTTAATTGATGAGCATTCTCACCTTTGCCATCGGTGCCTGAAGCCTCTTGAAGGTGACGGATGGACCTATAAAGACAGTTATATTTGATAGTGACAAATACATTAACAGATTAGCAGTACCTAATTTGTAAGTGATGAGGTCTCGGAATATCACTTGGCAATGGACCTGGCATCTCGGCGATGGGAGAGGACGTCCCCGAATGGAAAACGTCCTCAATGACAGGTGCGTTTTCCCGCAATAAGGGAGGAACTCAGAAGGCAAAACATTATTTATTGTGTGTTTGATGTCCTCACTGACTGGTGCCTTTTCCCACATTAAGGGAGCAGCTCAGAGGCAAAACATTATTTATTGTGTGTTTGTAGTGACAAATAAATAAGACAAGACGATGCATTTGCACGTGCAAATTATAATGGCGAGCAAAATTGATGCTAAATACAGTACACTGACTGTGGGTTGCTGCAGTCTTAAACGCGGTCAATCTGTAGCAAGTGTGACATCATATTTGAGATGGGGCGGCATGGTAGTGCAGTGGTTAGTGCTGTAGCCTCACAGTAAGAAGTCTCCGGGTTCAAGCACCAGCTAACCGGGTGCCTTTCTGTTTGGAGTTTGCGTGTTCTCCCTGTGACTGCGTGGGTTCTCCGGCTTCCTCCCACAGTCCACAGACATGCAGCTTAGGTTGATTGGCGACCGTGTGGTTGTTTGTCTACATGTCAGCCCTTTGATACACTGTCGACCTGTACCCCACCTTTTGCCCAATGTCGGTTGGGACTGGCTCCAGCCTCCCCGCAACCCTATTCACCCTAAGCAGTATAGACAATGAATAGATGTAAATGTGGTGCCAGGTCCATCTAAATCATTTAAGTAAGTTTGTTCTACAAAAAATGGCAAATATTATTTGGTCTGAGTTTCTCAGTTGTGAAGACTTTCTGCATATCTTTGTTTTCCATAGCTGCAAACTGAATGCATTTACATATAGACAGACCACTTTCCTAATGGTGTCAGTCAGTAAGATGATTTTTTTCCTGCAAAATGCATTGCAAACGGAGGACTTCTGCAACATGCAGCACCTACGGTGTTCCATTTTGCCATACAGCTCATCTCAGGTAGCTTCGTGGAAACAGTCAGCTGCTTACACTAACGTAAGCATTACACTTGTCAAAGCTAATTGTAGCCGTTGTAGCAAACACAAAGTATATGGCCTCTCCACACATATGCACACACTGACCAGACAACAGGGAAAAGAATAGCTCCGCAGCAGATAAGGTCGACCAGGAAGAGGATCTCCTTCCACACATAGTATTCACTGGAGCCCTCCTCTGTCGATTCGATGATGATATAGGCCACATTAGCCAGGACCTGGACAATGGACATGTGAATGGCTCATAAAGAAAATTCATTGAGTGCAAATAATCACACCCAGCTGCTGTTTCTTATGCACACACACCTGCAGAGGGATGACAATCATAAAGATCTTCTTCTCCTTATCAGACAGGATGTACTTAACAAAAGCCCAGCCGGTGCCAATCAGTGCCAGTGTGATGAACAGCAGAGCCCCCTTGAGCCTGGAAAGCACATCAATAGACATCTATGCAAACATTAAACACAAAACAGATTAAACCTCAAATCCTGGAGAAGACAGACTTACAGGTGTGTGATATAATACATGACAGCCCAGGCTTCAATAGGATGCCCCTCAGTGTTGATGAAGTGATAGTTGATCTGAGACAGAAAAACAGAGGTTTCATAAACAAAGAATCCAGGTGGACCGTGATAAGCAGGTGAGACAGAATAATCAGACATCACTGAGATACCACAACAAAAGACAAATATTACAGACCAGCTCTGTGGCGATGGTGCACTTACACTATGGAAAACCAATGACGTGGCCTTTGTGAAGGCCAGTGCAGCCATCAGCCAGTGGATCTTAAACACACTGTACCTGCAAATAAATGAGCAGGAAAAGATAATGTCAAAATATATCTGTCTGATTCTTTGATTTAGGGCCAAGTATTCAGAATTCTGTTATACTCAAATGTTAGCATGCAAATAAATCAGGACCAGATTTATTTAATCCTTGTGGTTTTAGGTGTATGCACAATTATTTTGAACTTTCTTCATTCCTTAACTACCTCTCTGTGCACCACAGTCAAGTTGCCCGTGTATACTTCAATGCATAACTGAACATACGACACTCTGAGCAAGAGAAAGGAGAGAAAGAGGGGGAAGCCATTGCTCTCAACTAAACTACTAGCTTAGCTAGTTTCTAAGCTATCTGACCGACAGTAGAAAGTTAAATTTGGAAATTGACAAGAAATTCTCTAACGCAGGTGCTTAAGCAGTGCAGGCGTATGTTGTGACACAAAAATCAGATGATGTTCAGATAATCCCTAGAAATTAGTGAGCCTGATCCGTAAACAATCTGGTAGCAAGCACAACATGGTGTTAGCACAGCAAACAGGAAGTGAATCCAATTACCGCAGGAACAGGAAAGAGAATGAAGCCAGTCCATCAGGGCACCTAGATAAGGGCACCTGAAAAACTCACTTTCTGATGCGTTTGTCTCTGACTTCTATGTTCAATAATTAGTAAGATGTTAGAAGGAAACTTTGTCTAGAGTGTGTGTGCGGCTGGGGCACAGGTCTGTTCTGTTGAGGACATGACAAGAACCCCCTCAAGATCCAGGCCTAGAACAGCTAAATAACATTTGATTCAAAGCAACACTCTGCCTAAGTTCAGCCCAATAAATCTACTAGCATGACTCTAGTAATCTTGTTATTATGGCTCTGCAACAACAAGATATGCAGAAACTCTTTCCACAGTGATCTGGCAGCTTTAAATAAGGAAGCTGTTAGATTGAGCAACACAACTCAGCAAGCAGTCATGTCACTATGCACATGTACCTGTGCTTCATGAGCATGTAGACCCAGACCATGGCAGCAGTGAAGAAGACTCCAGCCATGCAAATGTAAAGGCGAGACAGAGGAATTTCCGCTGCAGAGAGATAGCCGCCTGGATTCTCCTCTGTCACTTCCACCTGTGGAGCATATGTTCAGGTTAACACATGTACAGACCTGAGCATGCACACACAGTATCACTATAGTTACACTCAACTTACAGTGAAGGAGTAGGGCACTCTGTTTCCAGGTAACTTGTTCTTACAGTAGTAGAACCTGAGGCTATACAGACCCTCTGCCCGCGGGCCAACCACCACATGGAACTGTGGAGGAGGAACAGAAATTCACACAGCGGTAAAACAAATGAAACACTGCTTCACATCACATATAATGGCTAAGAAAAACACACTTACACTAAAGTTGTATGAGCCATTAACTTTGTCCAAAGCTAAAGTCAGGTGTTTGGTCGTCTCCAGCTAAAAGCAAACAGAGATTAGAAAGTGAGACCATGAATAGATCTCACAGACACAAAACAGACACAGAAACACCTCCTACATTGAATTCAGTTTCCTCGACTTTCTTTGCTACGGTCTTTTCTTCCGTCTGATCTTTCGTCTGATCCACAGACTTGTCATCCTCATTCTTTTTATCTTCTGGCTTCTCTGGCTTTTTGTCCCCTTTGTCTGACGTTTTATTCTCATCTGACTTAACGGTGGATTCACCAGGAGCCTGCCTGGTTTTCCTCTGACCTACAGGACAGACATTCAACATTCAAAGTAGAGCTGGTATAAAATCACTTGCATTCAATGCAGTGCTTAAATGTGACTGCAGAGGTAAGTAAAACGCAGAGTCACTTTGGAAGAGGTGTGAAGTGTGATCAGTACTGACCTTTGGGTGCTTCAGCCTTTGCCTTTGCAAACAGGTGGTTGTCCTGCTCACCTATAACTTTCACATTCACACTACACAAAAACACCACACACATCACACAGTCGACCTTCACATTAGACTGTCAGAGCACAGTAATACACACTTCCTAATCTACTGTTGAAACACACACCTGAGGGTGTTGATATCGATAATAAAAAGAATAAGAGGCTCGTTGTTTTCTGACTTTGTCAGAGTGAGGGGGCAGGTCTCTGGCTCCTCGGCCTGAACAGAAAAAAAATGAGTCAAACACATTTGAACAACCTGCCCCACATCTCTCCTATAAACCCACTCTATAATATCAATAATCTGATTATCGGTATCTCAGAAAATAACCATGTGTAATATTGAGAGATATTTAGGATTGGATTACTTACTGTGTAAGACAAGAGTCCATTCACACGTGACTTGGAGAGGCTGAACCCAACCTAAAGACAGTGATAAAGAAGTGGCCAGTATGATTCACAGTATACAGAACAGATTACTTCATAGCCCATTCCTAACAGGCTACTTTATTCCACATAACTAAGACCATGGCCACTGAAAATTCTGGATTCTGATTGGTTGGAAGTTATAGATTAACTTTTAGTAACTGGACATCAAGCCATTTTAAATCAGTGCACCAGTATTAAACTGTATGTAATGAGAGCAACAGCTGAGCCTCAGCTAGAAAGCTGGATAACCGTCAACAAAAACAAACAAAGAAAAGGATAAATAGCTTCTCAGTGAGAACCACGCAAATGCAATTTCTAATGTTTAGCATATTTGTGTGAAACTGAAAGTCTAAATCACGAGAACGAGGACTAAACGGTGGACCTAAGTTAAATAACTTTAGCCACAGTGACGCTGATAGTCTGAGTCAGAGGAACAGCGGCAGTGGATGGGAGAGAAGACTGGAAAGGAAATGTGACTGAAACTGCACCAAAAACCGTTGCTGAGAAGTCGCAGGTAAGAGTGAGGGAGTGACAGAGTGGGAACAGTATGTCTGTGGCATAGGGAGAGGTACAGAGACAGCATGTGTATGAGAGAGAGAGCTCCATAATGATGTTTAAACCAGGAAAGCTAGATACAAGATGTTTATTTGTACAGCAAGTCTCCATATTTAGGAAAAGGCATTCATTTGTCCAAAGTTTTTAGATTGTTTTAAATTAATTTGACTGAAAAGGTTCTCAAGTTTAAAATTCTGATTATTCAAGTAACCATTTAGTCCATACAAATATTTTTAAATGCAGTTTATAATTTATAAAACTCCAAGGCGACCTCTTTAAATTTTTTTTTCGACCTGCAGTTCAAAACATTTCCAATAAAATCATATGACAAAGAAAAGCAGCAGCTCTTCACATTTACGATGCTGAAACCAGAAAAACACACAAATACTTCTTACAGGGTAGTTGCTGTAGTTCACCAGCTGACTTGAGATGTGCAGAGAAACCAACTTGACATCCAGGGTCCCGTTAGCGTAGAAACCAAAGTTGTTGAGGTCGACAGCAGTCCGAGTTTCATTCTGGAAAAAAGAACAAATACAAATGTTAAATCTAAACCCTTGTGTTCAGGCAGATAACAGTCATAGATCAAATTCAAAAGCAGAATTATTTTATTGCAAAACTATGTAATCGCAAAAATATATACAGTGGGTACGGAAAGTATTCAGACCCCCTTAAATTTTTCACTCTTTGTTATATTGCAGCCATATGCTAAAATCATTTAAGTTCATTTTTTTCCTCATTAATGTACACACAGCACCCCATATTGACAGAAAAACACAGAATTTTGGGGATAAATGTTAAACAAAAAGGTTCAGCGAAACAGGCTATACTCAGACTCTTTAAGGCTTTGGTGTGTGTAGAGTTATTAAATATTTACATAAAGGATTTCTGATATGCAAACATCATAAAAACCAATCAGCATATCTCAGATGTATACAAAGAGGTATTTAGTTATTTAGCCAGGCCTCACTGATGTACAGTAAATGGGGTGGACAAAACACTGGTCCATATAACTAGTAAAGGGATTATTAAAATTTAACAGAAGCAAAAACTACATCTTCCACAATTATCATCACCATTAGTTTTAGTTAGTTTTAGTTCGTTTTTGATGTCATGTCACCACTAAACTGCTAATTGAATATATCTTCAGCCTTGGTTAACAGTGTTCTTACTTGTTAAACCCAAGGCTCTCTGAAGCCTTTATTTTATGACTGCAAGTAATTTCATCATCACTTAGCTAATCTGATATTTATTCTGCCATCGAACCCACGGCGACTTCGCTGAGGCAAAACGTGACATCTTCTGATGTCTTGCTCGGTCACTACCCAGATATATCTGGTTTGCAATGATATACGACAAAGAAAAGCAGGAAGTCCTCTCATGTGTGGAAAAAAAGATGTTTGTCAACAATGGGTTTTAAGATTAAATGGCATCATTCATTTTCAGCTATACTCCACAAGAAAATAAACTTATAACATCATCATATGTTGCGTTTATGTATTACTTTTCCCTAAACGAAGTTTTATCTGACAAAACAACACAACACCGTGTGCGGTTAATCGCCTATCACTAAGATCACTGCTTAGCTAACTGTTAGCTAATAAGATGCTACATGGATGATTCCAGCCAGCATAACACTCTGCGTTAGCTCATCTAGTTAGCATCACTCTAGTTGAACATAATCGCCTTACCTTCAGGGTGAGCTTATGTATCCTTGCTGTGCATCCAACCAGAAGATATATGAGTAAACATCCAGCAACATAACGACCTCTGTGCGCCACAGCCATCACCAGGCAGTAATCAACCTGCTAACGGCAGCCCACTGCTAACGTTAATGTTAGCGAGCGACAATCCTGCCAAACGATTAAAGAACGGGCTAGCTAGCAGTGCTAACAGTAAACCAGGCGAATTACAGTGATCGTAATCTTGGATTTTAAGGTATCGACCCTTCAATTATTACTTAATAATAACAATATGTTATGTTGTCCGATTCTTTCGTGCTTTCATCGCGTAAAGTAACAGCTAGCTTGTATGATCTCGCTTCCTAGTCTTGAATGAAGAACTAAACATCGACCAAGGTAGAGACAACAACGTCACCAGCTGTGGGCCTACTTCCGTTACACTGCCAGAGATATGATTCAGAAGGTGATACTGCGCGTCTAAAGCTACCAACGTAGAAAACAAATCGAGAGATAAAAACTCTCTACATGAACAGTCCAAAGTCGTGCGCTATTTATCTGTCACGTATCTAGTTTCTCACCTCCAAAGTGCTGACTACACCTTGTACTAGTTGCCCCAGATTTGGTCACATGGTGCGCGTTCACGTGACTGTCCACGTCGGAAGCATGTCCGGGTTGCCAGGTGTACAATTATGTTTAACACGTGGAACATTTATGTTGTTGCATTACACTGATGTTTAATTATCACGAAAGAAACATACTAACAATATATTTTTATAACTTAAATATTCAATACCACATTCCAATAAGGAACCATTTATAATAGATTTAATAAGCTGTAATTAATGGCTTTATTAGTTAGTAAATCAATTAGGCCTACTAATGCTTTATAGATTAGTTATACACTATTAATGGGATTAACTTTTGGTTTACCAGGTTGTGGAAAACGCCAACTCTCACCACTACAGGCCACACAACAAGTAGCTAGCGCATTAACATTTATTGGCAATACTACTACTACTACTACTCCTCCTAATACTACTCCTACTATAATAATAATAATAATAATAATAACTGATTAATACTTTAGGTCATTTTTAGACAAAAAGGCCTTGTGCTTCTTCTGTTTATAATGGTGTCTCCTTGTTATGCCAAACTCCCACTGATAACTGAAATTCTAAAATGAGACTTGATTCTCTACATAGACCAAAAAATACAGGCAATCCAAGTAAGATTGTGGTTGTCCTAGTATGTCAGGTCAAAATGTCAGCTGTGAAAAAAGGCCTGTAGGTGAAGGAATTATGAAGACATCATGCATTCATCACTGGAACATACAGATATTAACTACTTTTAAGTTATAATTCTTAAGATTTTCACAGTAGTTTACATTAATAGTAGTTCTCACTGTTACTAGCGGAGTTACCTTTTCCCACCAGGACTGAAACTTTGTGGGTTTTAGTCATTTTTCATTCAAGCACAGGAAACACTACTTTTTTGTTGGTGTTTATTTAGCACAAAGTGTTTTTCAAATAAAAATGTATTAAAATACAGTGCTGATAGCCCTTGGGATTACTGTCTGGTTTGTGGTAATGTAATCCATTTTAATTCACTTGTTACCAATACTAAACAAATCAAGGCTTTTTGATGGTTATATTCAGATTTTGACATTGGTTGCCAGTGATTGTCGGGGCGACAACCCAGCCCCCTTGCTGAGCCATTATCGAAGCAGGAGCTGGAGGAGGTGCCAAAGCAGCAGAGGTGGTGGAGGCTGCAGATATTCCTAACAGATCAAAAGACACAAATGAAGAAAGTAAAGACCCATGTAAACGCATGCTGGAAAGAAACTGATTTTGGTTACTTTGAGTGAAAGGTGAGTTTAAAAGGCTTATCATTCACGTCACCTGCATATGCCTTCTTTAATTTTTCTGCAGCATTGTTGTTCCCTATCTTCTTCAAGATTTTAACAGTGATGTCCACAGCTTCAGACTCTTCTGTACAGATACATAACACCTTACTCACAGTTTCTATTCGGGATTTGTTCTCCAGATGGGACTTAAGAATCCGGCCATCGCTCTCCGATGGAAGGAACCATTGAAACTTTTTGAAGTCTTCCGCATACAGATCTTCCAGAACGCCCAAGAGCAGCTCCTGAACTGCCATTTCTGCTCACTGAAAAGACAGAAGATGTTAAATTAGTTTTCAGTTTCCAGATTAGCATTCATACTCTTCATTTGCTTTGTTGACAAAGCTAGATGAGAAAGAGAACACCACTGCCTTATGGTTTCATATACATGCTGGACTAGGGCTGAAACTAACAATACCATTTATTATACAACCATTTCCTTGTTTGCGTAAACGAGTCCAGTAAACAACTGAAAGCTGCAGGAACTCGTATGTAGATTATAAACCATGGAGAGCAGCTAACACAACTCCGTCTGTTTGTGTGCGCCATCCTACACACGTAACCTTTTTAAAAACGAATGCATCACTTTTCATATGATATGATGATACAATGGTGTTCACCATCAAACAACCACAAACACGACAGTTGGTAAAAACAGTAAGCGTGCCAACATCTGCCGACATCTGCAGTGTTTGCGCAGTTTGCCGTCAGCGCAGCAGAACCAGCAGAGCCGAACTGAGTTTTATCCAGTGCCAAAATCCAAAAAGCACGTACCGTATCACCAACAGCCTACACAACGAATATCACGACGCAGATAAAATGGCGCGATTATACTTTCGATTTTAACGGTATATAACAGGAAGTTCTCCAAAACGTTCAGCAGAAAAAACCTGGGGTAAAAAAAAAACTCTGCTCCTGGAAGACAGAGCATGTCAGAGTCCTGCCTATCACCAAATGAATAAAACAATAGATTTAATACAACAAATCTGTTACATTTGAGCAATCCAATATGAAATAAAACCTTTAAAATTAAAACATTATGGAGCAACCCAGTGACAGTTCCAGATATCTCTTCAGTCAAGTGTGAGCTCTGTACAAAGACACAAAATACCAAAACAGAGCCCCTGCAACCTCCATTCAAATCATAAAGTGACAATAAACAGAATTTCTACAATGAAATGTTTACGGGTTTGCTCAAATAATGGCAGGGACATTACTGTCCTCCAAAAATATTGCAAATATTGTAAAAATACCAATCCCAGTTGATTTTGGGGGAGAGGTGAGGTCCATCCTAGACAGGTTGCCAGTCTATCACAGGGCTGGCACTTAGAGACAGACAACCACACACTCTCACTCCTGCAAGCAATTTACAGTCACCGATCTGATCTAAGCTCCATTTTCCATTGTCTTTGGACTGTGGAAGGAAACTGGAGTACCCGGGGAGAACAGACAAACTCAGCACAGAAAGGCACCGGGTCGGCCTGGGCTCAAACCCAGAACCTTCTTGCTGTGAAGTGACAGCGCTAACCATCATGTAGCTGTGCTGCCTCCATTTCATTTCATCCCAGATAAACTGAATAATTGTAAATAAATAAAGCTTCCTTGTTTAGAACCCCATTAGCTACTGTATTGCAACATTAGCATCTCCTGCTGGCTCCACATAAAATATACTACTGACAATGTGACAAAACATGCACATAACATCCAAAGCTACTCATAGTAACTCCACAGTAACACAAGGACACCAACAAACAACATGATGACTCAAAGTCTTTAAAGGAGCTCTACATAATATAATTTTGAAAAATTGCAAGGGTCACTGATTAATGTTGATTTCTTTAAGTTTATATTATCTTATTCATAGAATGTCAAAAATTGTGGAAAATGTCCATTTTTACTTTCCAGAGTCAAAGGTGGTGTTCTCAAATGTCTTTTGTCCAACCAACAAATCCAAAGATATTCAGTTTTTTATTATGTATGACAAAGAAACATCAATTTCTCACATTAAAGAAAGTAGAACCAATAAATGCTGATGATTTTTGCTTCAAAATTGTTGCCTGTTCATTTTTTTTATCAGTGAACTGACTAATGTTTGCAGCTCTAGGTTATTGAATGTGTATAAAAAGTGTGCTGAATAGCTACAATGAGGGAATGTGTTTTGGAAGAATGACATTTCCTCCCTCCAACAGAGGAGGAACACTGAACCTGCTCTGGAGACGCTTCACAAATAAAGTCCGTGTTGGTCACTTTATGCTAGATTTTCCTTTCATTTATCACCCATCTGCACAGTGGGGGTTTCTTCAACATGGAAGTAGAGGCCCACTGGACTTTCAGCAACAGCTGTCATCATGTAGAGCATCATCCATGTATCTGTACTGTTTTGCCTTCCATTGCTGTGTAGCCGCTCACACACATGCATGCTCATTCTTGCCCGCTGTGCTGCAGCACTACACTGCATTATTCTTGACCCTCCCTTCCTTCCTGTCTTGATATACCAACAGAGAACACCCATAGTGGATTTCAGAGGCCAGCATAAAGGAATTGCCTGATCATCAGCTTCAGAAATGAGCACACACACACACAAAAAAAACAAAAGAAAAAAAAAGCATATGCATACACACCCACACTGCCATAAAACCCCACAGCGCCCAGTGTTCTCTCAGAAGTCTCAGGCCACATTACAGCATCACACAGGTAGTAACGTGTATTTGAGAGACGTCACATCAGCAGCTGATATTTTGAGCCAGGGAAACTGATGAAGGATGCTTGTTTCTGGATGGCCAATCACGCTTCTGCTGTTCCTCCTGTTCAGCTCAGGTAAGTGAAATGACATCCACTGTAGGGGTGTGCTATGGGGAGGCATAATAGGACGAAACGCCACTAGCAAACCAGCTTGATGTGGAAACAGATGATCCAGTCTGGTAATTCAAACTCTTTTTGGGGGCTCAGAAGCCTACACAGTAAATTCAGCCATGTGGTATGTATAGTACTTACAACCCCTCACCACAGGCTGTCAGTGAAGTGTGAGCAGTTCAACCAGTGTGATTTTTCAATTTTAGAAAAATTTAAAGGAAAACAAAAAAGCATTGATTAAAACAGGGGGATTCAGAGATTTATGTGGTAGAGTTTGCAACATCCTCTCAGGCAAATTAGTATTTTGCAATTTTGGGCTATATTAAAACTGATCTGACAAGTGAAAACTCTGAAAAAAAGAGGAACAGTCATTTTATTATAAACTGTGTGAGTCAGAAATGTGTGTGTGTTGCTTTTGAGCAACTTCACTGTGACAGTAAATGCAGTGATGTAAAGTAGTAATGTTACTTTTACTAAAGTAAAAGATCTAAGGACTTCTACCAAGAAATAACAGATGTCATTCAATCATAACAGTTTGATTTTGTTTTTTGACTGTATTTATTTCTATGGATGAGAGGGTCTGGTAGCCTTGTCTCTCGTTTCACTCATTTGGCAGAGTGGTGGAAAACATAGCTATAAATTTTGACAGTCAGCGTGTTGCCACACCACCCAGTGAACTCCTGTGAATCAAATCATCTGATAGGCAGGAGAACAGCCTCGGGACTTAGAGGAACAATAGTCACAGAAAAGAGGAGCGAGGTCTACTGACTTGGGCAGGGTGTCCTTCCTTCCTCAGAGGAACACACTGGGTGTATTCAGTGTGCCTTGAAACAATGGTTCACAATAGATCAGCTAAAAAGAGTATTATTTCATAATATGTCAGAATTCAATTGACCCTTGGCTGAATGACGGTAAGACAGGGAGAACTGACTCATAAGTTCATTATCACACCAGGATAAACATATGAAAGGACACATCATTGTGTTTCTGTAAATGGATGCCACATCACAAATACTTTAACCTTTATGGATTTTGCTCATCTGGATTGATTTCTAATAGGAAAGAGCCAATTTTTTTTCTAGATTAAAAAGTCTACTGTAAAATCTCATGTACTCTTTGAGGGAATAACTACTTATAAAGTAGTTCACATCTATTTTAAGCATTACTGTAATAAAATCCCATTACTTTATGGATATGTTTGTTTGTTTATACCTTTACATATACATACATATTTAAGTGACTTACTGTGTCTTTCTCCCTTTCCCACTCACTGACCCCGACTGTGACCTCAGTTAACTCATCTCCTGTTTCCATTTACACACCTGATCCGCCTCTGGCCTCACAGATTTCTCCTCCCATGCACTCTCCAACAATCCTCCCATCTCAGCCTTCTCTCAGTATCCCACCGTCCATCCCTTCCTTCATCAGCCACTCTGGAGAGTCAGCAGAACGAGCCCGCTGCCTTCTGACGTTGTCACCCTCCACGCTGGTGGTCAGGTATACTGATTATTTTAGGATGATATGGTGGCTCAGTGATTCTAAAAACATTTTAGAATTTGGTTGAAACATTTTCTCCTCTTAAGAATACTGTATATAAATTCACTTCTTAGGAGTGAAGGAGATTTACACTCCTGCAACGTGTGGCATTAGCTAAAGAGTGTTTGAAGGTGCAGGTGAAGGTGGCATAAGCCTAAACATAAATATCTGGTTCACCTATTTTCTAGGTCCTTGTTAACAACATTTCTCTACTCTGACCATTCTATTGGTTTCTTTAGCAACTGAAATAATAAAGAGAGAAGGCTTTTATCAGACTAGCATATTAAAACTGTTTTTACTTTGACCAATTTGCGCTTAAAGGCTCTCAAAGTAAAACACACAGAAGAAGCTAAGGACCAGCAGCAGCTCTGGTTGAAACACAGCTTTTCTCACTTGCCAGCTTTGACCAGTTCTTATCACTTCCATGTTTCTGTGTAAATTATTGACAGTTAATTGTGTGCAAACTCTCCCATCACAGGTTTGCAGATCCAGTGACTGCTAACTGCTCTGCACCAAGGATGGAGTTTTCTGCTTTGGGCTGGTTAGTCCCATTGGTAGGTGAATCGGTGTTGTTAGATTTAAGAACCTGTGTGATAAAGGCTAACTTAACTTGTCTGTCTGCTGACCTTCAGTGATTTAAATTCTCACTTTGCTGCAGTGAGGTACAGGTGTACTTCAGGAGCTGCATAAATCCACTGCTGGGCATAGTTACCACTCACACTAGAACAATCCTTCATTTTTCAGCAGACTACAGTGGCCAAAGACTTAAGCTACGTTCACATTATCTGACTAAATGGCTCAAATCTGATTTTTTTTTCTTCCCTTCAAGTGACTCAGATTTGATCTTTTCACAGATGTGTAAACAAACTAAGATGGATTCTTCAAATTGGATCTAGGCCACTTGCGCATGTGTTACATCAGATTCACATCCGATATTTGATCACGTGACTACTGTCAAGCTAACTGCTCTGTACCAAGGATGGAGTTTTCTCTTTTGGGCTGGGAAGTCCCATTGGTAGGTGAATCGGTGTTGTTAGATTTAAGAACCTGTGTGATAAAGGCTAACTTAACTTGTCTGTCTGCTGACCTTCAGTGATTTAAATTCTCACTTTGCTGCAGTGAGGTACAGGTGTACTTCAGGAGCTGCATAAATCCACTGCTGGGCATAGTTACCACTCACACTAGAACAATCCTTCATTTTTCAGCAGACTACAGTGGCCAAAGACTTAAGCTACGTTCACATTATCTGACTAAATGGCTCAAATCTGATTTTTTTTTCTTCCCTTCAAGTGACTCAGATTTGATCTTTTCACAGATGTGTAAACAAACTAAGATGGATTCTTCAAATTGGATCTAGGCCACTTGCGCATGTGTTACATCAGATTCACATCCGATATTTGATCACGTGACTACTGTCAAAATGATCAGATCAGCATTCATGAGGTTTTTTTTTCAGCCTCACTCTCTGTGGATATTGTCTATCATCATCATTCAGTGTCAGCCCTTCACAGACCAGTGAAAGTAAACATAGAAGAGAGCAACAACAGCAACAAGGGTCAGTGGAGCGATGAGGATGTTTCACATTCATGGATCAAACCAAACTGGAATGTATAGCATTGCAGTCGAGTCACTAAACCTCTAGTTCAAATCGAGTTTTGAGTCTGAGTCAAGTCCAAGTCACCAAAGAATAATTCGAGTGAAGTCCAAGTTGAGTCAGTTGAGTCCCCGTTTTACCAAAGTCATCAAGGTCTACATTAAACACAACTGACAAAGCTCTCACCATTTTATATTTCAAACTTTCTAACAGTGCATTGCAACACAATATTGCTCAGCAATTTAATACATAAAAAACATTTAGTGTACACCATGCCTGATTCAGCGTGGTGCGGGTGAACAGGTTTTAATATCAATATCCACATTTTAATGGCCTGCTGCAATAAAAAAAGGTCCAAGTCCTCATCTCCAACTTCCAAGTCCAAATGTTCAAGTTCAAGTCAAGTAAGGAGTCCTGAAAATCTGGACTCATTTTAGACAGCAAAGACAGCCCAACAATTTCCATAGCCTTCAGCATCTCAAGAAGAATCTCATTCACCTTTCAACTTTCTGACAACTTCACAAACATCCCCCAGCGACATGGATAAGACTGCCTCGAAGTCTTCCACCACCCATCAATATCCTCATTACAGGTCAGTAGTTCAACTGCCCTACTTAAAACAATGTACAGAAGACCCTTTGAGTTCCCAACCTGGAGCGGTGTATGGTTTTCCAGAACCTTTTTCTCCATTGCGTCCCCTAGCTCCTCCCACAGTCACAGGGTCTGCAGTCCTACTGGCCTTTAGGAGTCCCTTCTAAACCCAAGCCAAAATGATTCCTGCTCTAGCTGGAATGTCTTCTTTACTTGGTGACCATGATTGGGTCCTCACTGGTCACATCTTTGAACAGCCTCCTCTCCAATGGAGCTCTGGATATGGCCCACTTGAATTCCATATTCACAGGCTCAGCAAGATAGAGACAAAAACATTAAGGTAGAGGCAGGAGTTACGAACAGGGGCCACAACTTTGTGCCCGTGAGCACTGAAATGCTGGCCTAGTGAGCACCTTCATGGGGTTTCATAAACTTTATACACCTGCAAGGATTTCCTGCAGGGCTACTGTAGTGGATCACACTGTACAGGCATAGCTCATAAACTAGCGCCAACTAGTTATTAAAAATCTTTTGTACGGTGTTCATCATTTAAACAATTCCCACAGCTATTTGTGACCTTTTGCTTCTCTAGGCGGCTCCTAAACCTACTATGGATCGTTTTTTGGTCTGGAGTGTTGACAGGATGACCGAGTGGGGCATCAAGCCTATATGCTATGCACTAGCTGAACAGGGAGGGGATTGCCACATTAATCTCCCTCTAACGATCTACAGTGAGTTAATCATTTCGTCTTTCTCAATATGCATCAAGCCTTTTCTGTGCAGTTTAACTGTCAGTCTGCCCCCACAGAGCCTCCAGACAATGTATCCATGAGCTTTGTTAACCACACTGGGCCGATGGTGGAAGGCCATCAGTACACACTACAGTGTACGGTTCAGGATGTAGCTCCAGTTAAAAACCTCACTGTGACCTTCTACAGAGGACAGACACCACTGGGTTGTCTACAGTCCAACAACAACACAAAAAAGACTCCAGTGACCGAGATCTTCACTCTAGACATCACTCCCAGTAAAGAGGAGGACAGAGATCAGTACTGGTGTGAAGCCAAGCTAGAACTGGGACCTGAAGGACCACAGCACCCCCCAGTGGCAATTTCACAAAAACTCACTGCCATGGTCCACTGTGAGTGACACCGCATGTACAGGATCTCCCTATCTTCTGTTTTCATTATGCTGCTTATTTTTATCAATTTCCTTGTGCAAAACCTGTCAACATTTTTGTCCTCTCTCTCAGTTGGTCCACAGCTTGCTTGTCCTACGAAGCTACAGGTGAGAGAGGGAGAGCGCCTCACCTGCGAGGTGAGAGGAAACCCTCAACCTTCAGTCATCTGGTTCAGAGACGGGAAGCTGGTTACTCCACCCACACACACAAGCAGAAAGCATGCTGGAAAATACACAATCTTGGCAAAAGGACTTAAGAAGAAAAACTTTACAGTGGAGGTGGAGGTCCTTGACGGGAGTGGTAGGTTTACATCACTATAAACTTAATGTTACATTTCCACACTTGTCTCAAACTAAAATCTGTGCACGATCGAAACCTGCAAACTTGATCTTACATGTGCTTTATATCTAGTTTATATTTTATAATTGCACATTTTAACTTGCCTTTGCTTTGAACAATCCTTTCAGAATTTGAGAAATACTGAAATAGGTCTGTTCCTGCATCAAAATGGAATTAAAAAAAAAAACGGCAGAGGTTTTGGAATTGATGGAACTTCTCTCTTTTTAGGAACTGCAAGCAGATGCAACAGATGCTTCCTGTTGGCTGTCCTGCTTATTCAAATCACCTGGCTGTAAAACCCAACTAAAATAATGCAATGTGATTTTAAATCATTTTTTCTATGCTGCTTGAATGAACCACTCCTGCTGTTAAAAAAAAAAACCACATTTCACACAGTGCTCTTTTGAATTCCTGCCTTTAAGTGCATCATTTTCAAAACATTTGATTAGAAGCTCGAAAATCTAAGATACATTTGAGGTACATGTTATGTTTCTAAACTTAACTTCGTGTTATCTGGTAAATTTCATATATTCCAGAATAAAAGGTGCTATCATACTGGCATATACTCCAACACTGGTGTGCTTCTTTTTTTTTTTTTTAAATGAAACCACTTTATTGTGTAATTGTGACATGTGGTGTCTAGACTTAACATTGCAAAGCACAACATCGTTCACTGGTTACATGTGGCTGTGCCTTAAAATGCTGAACTCTGATCAGTGTGTTCCTTTTTCCCCCCACTTGAACAATCCATCCAGTTCCAACATATGGTCAAAGTAAACATTGTTGCAGGTCAATCATTGATATACAACACTGACAACTTGATTATATGAAGTGCAAACAGTAACATGTTTCAAACTACACAACTCGAAATTAAATTCCGCTGGCTGGTGTTCACATCACAGCTTTGATTTAGCGTGCAGTCCTTCAACGAGAAAAATGTGAACACAACCCTTTTTCAATTAACATGAAAAACAACAAATATCCCTTTGGATGCAGTGCACAAACAAAACATTCTAAACTTTTAGGCTCAAAAGAAATGGCTACACCGCACACAACCTTTTATTAAGTCAATTATTTACACTTGAAAAGCTTAAACATACCTGCCATACAGGGTTAAGTCAATCCTAAGCCTCCACCGCTTTAAATAAGGAATGGTACTGTATCTCAGTTCACTATTCTGCTCATTGGTAAAGTGCCACTTCATGTTTCATTGGTTCAAAACCACCTTCTGTGGGTTTTTCTGTCTCAGATGATAAATACAAAGATGACAGAAAGCAAATGACCACAGTCAAAAACCACAGCTTGTGGCTGTAGTGAATTTTTAATATTAGCCTATTATCTATGGCTGGGAAGCCATTTATTACCGTTGACTTTGGTACTGTAACTACTCTGTCAGAATGCTGCCCAGTCCAACACCAAGAGCACTGCTCCCATCTAGAAAGAAAACGCGAGTCATCGTATATCCATTTTAAATGTCTGGGCTCACTCAGCATCATACAGCTGTGTCACTAGCACTTAAGTTATTGAAATGTACAAGGTACAGTATTTTGTAGCACTTAAGTCACTTTATCAGGCACTGAACAAGCCAAGTCTAATAAAACAGCCCTGCAATGAATCATTGCTTTCTGAAAGTGATAACATTCAGTTTTTGTTTAAAATGCTTTAGAGCAATACAAAAAACAAAACATTTACACCTTCATGAAGGGAAGATTTATTGTAGGGCTGCTGTATTAGATTTGGTTTCAGCTTCAGTACCTGATAAACTGACAACTGAGGTATTAGTAACATTGAAGTCGGGTTACTCATCAAATAGGGCACTACTGAGTTTGACAACCCTGCTGATGTCATCAGGCTCTCTCTGCTCAGGCTTGGAGATTTCCACAGAAAGTGTACATCACATTTCCAAAGTCAACAATGAACCCTAACACTCCTTCAAAACTCCAGTTCACAAGCTTGGCAACATAATATTGAGCCAAAATCCACCGATTTGCTTTTTCCTTTTTCACAGCTCCTGGTCTTCACCAGTTGATGCATGGTGCTCAGGTTTCATGGAAAGCCAGGTAAGTGACCTTTTACTTAGTCAAAGTGTGGAGTCTGACAGAGGCAGGGATGATCTAAATAAATAAATAAGCAATTGCTTGCATTATGGGATATGTAGGACCCAGTGTATTTGCTTCACCCATAGTAAGCATTAAAGTGTAATTTAACCTCTGCTGGTCATTCTTATTTATTTTCTCTCTCTCCCCCACCTTATAGAAGTGAAAATTTAAATTAATGTATTACCCCTTTAATCCTTCTGCCAATAAAGAACACTTAAGGTAATCTAAAGCTTTACCAATACAAAGTAAATACAGTAAGGAAAACTTACTGGGTGCACATTTCCATTGAGAGCTGTCATTGTATGGCATTATCAACCTCATCAGCGAGGATTTGCAGATGGCCAGCATCTATGAGCCTGGCGAAGTGCTGAGACTGCAGCAGCTGGGGCAAAACATCATGACATACCCCGCTGACTGGGAATTCGATTGGACTGGACTGAGGAGCTGGAGGAAAAAAGGGAGAACCTCTGGGATCCGACCCAAAGCTCCAGTGCTGAACTGAATGTCTGTAGTTTGGAACAGCTGCTGCGAGGAGCTCTTGGGGAACTGAGAGAGTCTGCTCCTGAGCAAGCGTGTGATCAGCAAGGAGCTCCAGAAGTGAACGAGTGGGAGCAGATGTGGCGCTGACCAGAGGATCTTCTGACACTGCAGATGTAGAGGAACACATGGCCACCACCACCCCTCCTGCTTTTTTACCCTCCCCCTTTTTTAAGACTTCAGCTTCCTTCAACACAGCACCAAGTGACATAGAAGTGGTGACACCAGAGCCTTCTATAAGGACATCTTCTGTTTCCTGGGAGAGCTGTTCTTTCACTGGGGGAGTTCCCTGGAGAGCATCCAACACTGCGGAAGCACCACTGATGAAGGGCTGCTTCTTATCAGATCTGGCCTTCTTAACTCTGGGTACATGTGAGACAGTTGGAGTTTGTAACTGCATCCAGAAATTCATGCTGGTTATGAAATTAAATATGTATTGGTGTTGTACTTACGGTAACGAAGTAAAGAAGCCTAATTTCCTGCTCTCCCTTAACAGCGCCCTGAAAATGTTTAAGAGCATGTACTAAGGGTTTAAAAAAAAAAAAAAAAATCTTCAAAGGATCAAATACATTATTGAAGGTGTAAGCGAGTTTGCAGCAGCATCTCATACAACATGTACCTGGACTGCATCCATCCTTTTGGCCAAAGTGGTTTGACTTCATTATCTAGCAACGTCTTAAGGTACTCCTCCGTCTCCTGGCTCCCTTTGCCTTCCTTTTTATATTTGTCCATTTTTGGTCCCAAGACATGACACAAGCACTCTCTGCAGACAAAATATGATCCAACATACACCAGGCTACCGTTTTAGTTTTCAAAGACAATGATGTGCTCAATTAATTTTAAATGTGTCTGTTTCTGTCGTCACAGATAAAGTGAGAGATCATAAAAAAAACTGACCTGATCTCCTCATTCCATTTGAACAGCTTCTTGGGACCTCTTTTTCCACTTCTCTCCTCCACATTGTCCTCTGCAACAACATTCATCTTCTGTTTCCCCTCCTCTGTTGCCCTGACAGACATAGGTGCGTTTTAAACAAACAAAACCTACTGCCAATGATGCCACATATATAGTCCTATACCAATAACTAACCTGCTATGATAATAAAAATACTGCATATGCTAAGTGAACTTACTTTGAAGCCTTGACTTGCTCATATACTTGGCACTTTTCATGGTAACGCTCAGTCTGCTCCGACATGGCTCTGCTGACGGCCTCCTTAAGTCTCTGCATGGGATCTTCTGTGTCAGGGGGTCCCTCCTTGTCAGTGTGAGATTCAGCAATTGTATCAAATATAAAAAATTGAACAAACCAGACATCTGTAGTACAAACTCAAACGTTGAGCATACTCACCATGTGTGTGAGTAACAGTTTCTTTACACGTTTGAGGAGAGTTTCTCTGCTGCAGGGCAGAAAAGACGACGTGTGCGTGTACACCTTGGAGCGCAAGTGGCTGCCCCGTTCCCGACACTGCAACTCAATACTGGACCAAGACAGGGAGGATCTGCCCGTTTGTCAGTGCAACCTTAAGAAAGACAATGGGCACATCCCAAGTCTTGGGGGCATTTCCTTCCTTGCATCTTAGTCCTGTCCATGCAAGAGGAGTTAAAAATGTGAAGACAAAGGAATCAAGGAAACACATTCTTTAAGACATGACACCCTTTGCTTTTCCTCCATCTGAATCGTCCAATCACCAACTGCTTTCCAATAAAAGGGACGCGTTGGTCCATAAAAGACTTCTGCCAAAGATGGTCTCTTGTACCCTTGGTCATGGCTCCTACAGGTAGCCTCTTCAGACAAGAGTGCATCCTTGATCCTTGTTCAACCCAAAAGTCTTTCCAGCCGAGTGAAGCTCAAAGACATTTACGAGACTGGGGATGTACCCACTGTACGTCAACACTGTTGTAACATGGCCTCAAATGTTCTAAGCTGATAGAGTGCATGCTCGCAAACAATTTATTTAGCCATTTTGTGACTAATTGGCGCTTTTAAAAGGCTTCCAGTGTGGTTGTGGCTTAGAGCAGTTGCTTAGTCTGTGCTGCTGGGTGACTCACTCTAGCAGGATTGAGTTGATTTCTGGAGTGAAGAACTTCAGTTTTGACCCTCCCTCTGAAGTCCTGGCAGCCTGCAAAAATTTGTCAGTGATGTGTGCGCATTCAGTTCGCAAGTGGTAAATCTGTCAGCACACGCAGAGAGTGACATCCTCACTTAATCTTACCACCATCAGTTTTCTAATGTTCTCTTCCAATCCTGGAGGAAGTCCCTCTGGTAGAGGGACACACTGATGTGAAGAGGCAGAACTGGCTTCGGACAGGAGCTGTATTTGTTCTGAATGAGCTTTTGGCTGCAAATTCATCTTTGGAGTTTGGGCTTCAGCAGAAACATTCAACTGGCCCCGATCGTCTGTTGGTTTGAAGAGCTGCGTCTCTGCAGCAGGTTGAGGAAGTGATTCTGGCAATGAAGCCTCAGTGACATCTAATAGAGAGTCCAAATCAATATCAAAATCCACTGTGCTGGCTGCCTGGATGAGAGTGTGGTCATTGGTGGATCCAATTAAACTAAGAAGAGGCTCAGTCAATCCTAAGCCTCCACCGCCAGCGGCATCTGCCGGACACCGAGGAATTGTGGGTCCATCCATAATTACAGCTGCCTTCAGATTTGCTTTCTCCATTTTCTGTTTCTTCTCTTTCTCTCTTTGAAACTTTTTCAGCATTCTAGTGACACTTAGTGTGCCGACAGTCCTTTTCTTCTTTTTCATCTCATGAGCTAGGGAGATTCCAGACAAAATGCTGTAAAGAAAAACATGGTTAGTGAATTATTTTATGAATCAAATTAAACATACAGATAAAATATTGCCAGTGTCCAAGTGGCTCTAAAGAAGGGATAAAATAACGTAGTCTCACCTCGACCTAGACTCCATATTGGTTTTCCTCTCTCCATCTTCTCTGCACCACTTCTTCGGCTTATCTTGTCCACCACTGTGATGACGTTTCTAAAAATCCATATTTGAAGGGGTTACGTCTCCATAATGGTGCAAAAAGCAGTTTTGGAAACATGTTCAAGTCAAACCAGTATGAAAAATGTGGTACTAACATCTATACAATCTATTTAGGCTTCTTCACATAAAACATTGCTTACTTTTGAGGGCTTAAGTGTTTTCTCCTCTGTTCTGAGATCCTCCGTCTCGGTGTCACAGTCTGAAGCCTGGCGGAACTGCAGCACGCCTGAATTCACGTAGAAGCCACCAAATTTGGTGGTGATGGAGGCTGGCACAAACTCATCATACTATAGATAACAACCACAATCAACACAATGTTAAAACAGATTTTACATCTATAAGGGAAAGATTAAAGCACCCATGGCATGCTCGTTTTGCTCATTTCCAGCCATTTAATGTTTTATCTTGGGTACCTCTAGATTAACTTGGCGCCCCTCGTGACTTCAAATAGTTTATAATTGTTTCAGAATCAGTGAGCCACAAAACCTCTTCATTAAAACAAAGACAGT